GAGCAGAGTGCAAAGGATGCAGGAGTGAATCATTATTATTATTATTATGTACATGTTGGAGGTGGATGAGATATCCAGGAGCACATACACATACATACACACAAGTACGCATGTACACAGTGAGATGGAGTATAGTGCAAAGGATGTTGGAATAAATAAGTATTATGTACTTGAGGTAGGTCGATTTGGTATACGGTATCTACAATATAACAATATTAACATTATGAACAGCTCTGAAATAGAGAACGAGATAATGATGAATAAAAAATAAGTGGTAACCAGTAAACAGGTGGCTGATAAGAGACAGAGTTGTTCCTGACACTGTGAGTCAGAGACAGCTGTTCATCAGAGTGATGGCTTGTGGGAAGAAACTGTTCCTGAGTCTGTTGGTTTTGGCGTACAGTGCTCTGTAGCGCCTACCAGAGGGGAGAAGCTGGAACAGGTTGTGTCTGGGATGAGATGGATCTGCAGTGATGTTTCCTGCCCCTTCCTGACTCTGGGAACGTATAAGTCCAGAATGGAGGGCAAGTTGGCACCGATGATCTTTTCTGCAGTCCTGACTGTCCGTTGTAGTCTGTCCCTGTCCTTTTTGGTCATGGACATGCAGAGGACAGACTGGATCAGCAGCTCTTTAGGCAGGTTGAGCTTCCTGAGCTGGCGCAGGAAGTACATCCTCTGCTGGGCCTTCTTGATGATGGTGTCCGTATTGGGCTTCAGGTCCTGGGATATGGTGGATCCCAGAAACCTGAAGGATTCCACAGCAGACACAGTGCTGTTGAGTATGGTGATGGGGGGCAGAGTAGGGGGGCTCCGCCTGAAGTCCATGGTCATCTCCACAATTTTGAGCGTGTTAAGCTCCAGGTTGTTCTGACCGCACCAGAGAGCCAGCTGATCAACCTCCCGTCTGTAGGCCGACTCATCACCATCCCGGATGAGACCGATGACGTTGTGTCATCAGCAAACTTCAGGAGTTTCACAGATGGGTCTCCTGAGGTGCAGTCATTGGTGTAGAGGGAGAAGAGCAGTGGCGAGAGCACACACCCTAGGGGGCGCCAGTGCTGATAGTCTGGGTGCTGGATGTGATGTTCCCCAGCCTCACCTGCTGACTCCTGTCAGTCAGGAAGTTTGTGATCCACTGACAGATGGAGGCTGGCACAGTGAGCTGGGTGAGTTTGGTGCTGAGGATGTCTGAGGATGATTGTGGAGCATTTGAAGCAGGAGGGAACTTCACACAGCTCCAGTGATCAGTTGAAGATCTGTGTGATGACGGCAGATTTTCAGGCAGGTGTTTATTTACAGCAGGCCTGTAAATCCAGCTTTGACTCATTGGTCCATCTTTTCACAATCTTTACAACAGCTTTAGCAGATTTCAGTTTTTGCCTGTGTGTCGGAATAAGATGAACCAGACAGTGATCAGAGAGTCCTAAGGCTGCACAGGGAACAGAGCGTACCTTTAATGTAGCAGTGGTCCAGTGTGTTAGTGTCCCTGGTGGGACACTTAATATGCTGTCTGTACTTTGGAAGTTCATGGTTGAGGTTTGCTCTGTTGAAGTCCCGAAGAACATTCAGCAGGGAGTTTGGAGTTTTTTTATCCACGTTAGTTATCTGGTCGGCCAGGTGTAGCGCTTCACTAACACAGGCCTGAGGTGGAACGTAAACTGCTACCAGAACAAACGAGGAAAACTGCCGTGGAGAATAAAAAGGTTTACAGTTTATGAATAGTGTCTTTAAGTGAGGACTGCATGATTTCTTCAAAACTGTGACATCTGTACACCAACCTTCGTTTATGTAGAAACAGAGTCCTCCTTCCCTTGTTTTTCCTGTGAGCGTTACGCGATCAGCGCAGAAGAGATTAAATCCCAGGTAAAGTTTGCCAGGATGTGGTAAAACAGAGGGCAGCAGATCTGCAGAAGTCCGAGTTAGTTCTGTTGGGGCAGCAGTTTGTCCATTGTGTTGGCCAGAGAGCGGACACTCGCCAGGTGGATAGAAGGGAGCGTAGTGTGAAAACCCTGCTGTCTCAGTTTAACCGGTGCGCCAGCACGCTTACCCCTTCAGCGTCTCCAGTATATCCCGTACAGAGTGGGTGCTGCTCCAAATAATAACTCAGAAAAAGTTCTAGTTTCGATAAAGAGTGGTGGAATAGTGTGAGCAGTTTGAGACAAAGTGGGTTTATTCACCACCTGTCCCATACAGATCATTATCTATAGTACACCTTCTAATTTTTTTCTAAAGTGTTTATTTTTTGTAATTTACCTGGGTTGTTTGTTTTTGCATTGCATTTTGCAAGTTAAAGTAAACACACAGTCATAAGTTAGTTTCAGTTCCATTTTATTAGGTTGCAAGTTTAAACCTGGTTTCATTTCACTTACAATTGTTTGTTCCTTTGTTCAGTTTGACCACACAGGACAATTGTTTGGGGAGGGGCCGGCCTAAGCATTTCCTGTTTTATAGGAATAGGGTGGTCATGAATGACATCACCGGCCAAACCAAGTAGAGGGTTTTCTTTTTTTATAGGAATGTTTCTTTTGGTTGTTTTTGGTTATTATAAATAAATGTGTAAATATCCCTGACCTGTTTTCTAGTCAGTTGGAGCAGAGTGAACTGGTAACTGAGTTCCAAATGTTAAGAGATTTCTAGGTAGTAATGTTATGGAGTAGATCAACCTGCATCAGAATGGGATGGGCTGAAGCAGTTTGGGTGTGAATTGAACACCCTATATAAATGGTGGGATTTGTGCTCCCAAGGGGAAAAAAAGAGGTGAGGCTGTGCTGCTGTGAACATGTGCCTTTTGCTAGCGTTGCTATAAGTTTAATGAGTTATTTTCTTAAGTCTGTTAGTTTGTTGGTTGAGTTATCTGTGTACTGCAGACCACTGTAAATAAAACAATCACCTCTGGGAACATACAATGTTTGAGTCTGCCTACCTACCACCTTCCTAGCCACTCTGGTCAGGCTACACCACACAGTCCAATATTTAAGAGCTCTTCTCTGGTAAATGTTACAAGAGCGAGACGGCAGAAAACAGAGTTTATATACAGAATTTATAAACACAAAAAGCACTACAGAACATAATCCAGAGACGGCCGTCTGCGGCGCCATCTAGGTGTCATGAGCATACTTGTGAATGTTCAATAGGATTCTCTTTCTGCGTGGAAAAGGTGCAGGATCATTTCACAGATTACTGATTTTGAGGTATGAAAGTAACTTTTTGGATGTACAGTATTTTTCTTCTGGTGTCTAAAGTTTAAATGACTACAAATGTAAACTTACATAGATTTTATCTCTAGGTTATAGATTAACAATTAACACTAACAAGCTATGCTAAAGTAGTTGTGGTTAGCGGGCAAAGAAGATTTTATCATGGCTGCAACATTGGGGCCAATTGTTAACACAGTGTTACAATTGCCCCCGATGTTCCAAGCCACATGGCCCAATGTAAGCAGCTTGTTTGTCTGTGTTGAATACTTTTGTTAGAAAGTGAACATATTTCACTAAATGTAAATGTAAAACTACATTAAAAAAAGTGTATTTAAAAATGGATTTGTTCTAGTATATAGGCCTAAGTCTGCAAAAGTAAAGTTCCTTTCAATTTCAGTTTGTCTATATAGTGGATTTAAAATAGTTGATTGTATAAGACCCATCAAAACCAAAGAGAATGACTAGTTCACTTGTGAAAAGCAATTTTATGAAGTTAGAACAGAGAACTTAGCAGAGGATGCCTGATATCGAAAATAATTTGAACCATACAAAAAAAACCTTACAATTGGTCTTGCATTTAATTCAATATTATAGTCTTGTTCTTATAAGTGAAAATATATCAATTGTATTATTAATTAGTGCACATATATGTGTTTATATATGTATATATATTATATATGTGTATCTCAAGTAGTCTGTGAGTTATTAAGGAAAAAGTACAAAATGTTACAATTGCCCCCAGTCTCCCCTTTAAGCTTTGCGACATGATCTCAACATTGCACTAACAAGCTTCATCCAGTGGATGCCAGTATTTTTATGTTTTAAATTTCAGTGGGCTTTGCATTGATGGATAATTGGCACCTCTGTTGAAGTGTGTAATATGCTGTATGTACAGGTTCAACGGCTAAGTTGTCAGTTACCGTAACATTTTATTACATAGACAGTGTGCGAGACAAGCATTAACCATCTGTACGGTCAGGCTCAGCTCAGTAAATTTCCACCAGCTCAATCCATCAGCTTACTACAGAAGTGCTCACTGCTCATCCAAACAGTGCAGGTCAGAAAAATACCTTACAGAAACAGAAATAGGGCGAGGTCTTCATCATTTTTATCTAGGCTGTGCCCATTCCCGACGGGTGTTTGGGGATGGCCTGAGGTTAGACCTGAGAAGTGAATTAAAAATGGAATGGGTTGATTAAATAGGGCAGATGTTTCTTTTTGTGCTCTGCAAGTCAGAGGATAAAAGTGTTTTCTCAAGGAGCATTCACATTGGGGAATAGTGTGCAGTGAGAGAAGCGCATGATGCTCCCTTCACAATACAAGGAGCTTGTTCATTGTTTAAACTTAACAGAGGGCTATTTTTCATTTGTCACCTACTCTAGCCCATATGGTCTCCCAAAAATATTGTAATCATTTAAAAAAAAAAAATATATATATATATATATATATATGTTTATTTGGGAAGAATTTCATTTTAGGCATGAGTATGATTGTTACCTGGCATCACTGCAATATTCCTGAAGGGCTGTGATGTCTACACATCTACTTCTATATTATCATACTGGGTTTCTTTTCCATCAGTACTGCTGTCATTACATTGTATCTCTCGCCAGTGGAGTCAGTGATGCATCAGGACTAATAAACTGAGGTATTGTAGTGGGATAACACAGACACTTCGCATAGACGATCAGTAAATCAGACTATCAAGTGCCACATTTGCAGTAAAAACCCAACAAAGTACAACAGGATTCTAAATACAAAAAGATGCCACTGTATTTCAAAGCATGACACTTGAGCCATCTCTTGTACATAAACACATTTTATTCAGCCTGATATAGGTTACACATGGAAAAAAAATCATAATCTAAGAGAACTACTTCCCTTTGTGGAGCTAATGATATGACAGTTTTAAATCAGCTTCAGATCCCCACTTGACAGCTTTCAACATTAGCTGCCGTGAGCTGTGAGGAATCAAGCATAATCACATGCTACGACTGACCTGAGGCTTTTTTTTCTCCTCCTTTCTTCGAAAATAATACAAAAAGAAAACATATCCCCTCAGCAGTCATTATGTATGCTTTCTCACTAAATTATATGGAATGTTATCGTGGAAATGCAGGTAAAAAGAAACCGGTTTTCTGTAACAGCAGAAAACAACACATGAATAAAAAAAGAAAAACTGATTCCCAGAATTCTGCTCCCAGGCTGCTACTGTGTGAGGCAGTAAGAAAACACTACCTCAAAGTGTTTGACAACAAAAATAACTGAAGCCTGCCGCTGATTCAGTCTCATAATTCTCCAACGTGGATATGAACAGAAACCATAGCCTCAATGTAATAGTACAGAAGGTACGTTAAATTTACACTGGTTGCAGATCAGCTTTGGAGTCTAATATAGTAGGACCTACAGTCATAGATAGAAAGTAAAGACTGATGAGGGGAAAAGGGGGGTCTTAACATTTAACTAGTGTTAGTCGTTTTTTTTTACTTGTAAATTTCACAAAGTGCAAATTTTTATTTATATTACATCATAACCAGTTTTTTTTTAGAAATTGTTCATTTTCTATTATATAACAATGAAAAATGGAAAACCTAGCCATAACCAACCCCCTCCCCACCTGTTCCCACCAGCTATACATCAGAATAGTTTAAAAAAGGAATCACTAATACATGCTGCAATGACACCCACCAATTTGTTTGAAACTTGACCAAAGCCTCCTTTTAGGCTCCTCGAATCTCTTACAGTACACCGTTACTGTCAGTGTGCGTTTATAGTTTTTATATATATAAAAACTATAAACGCACACTGACAGTAACGGTATACATATATATATTAATCTATCATTAAATAGGATGCCTCTTGGACAGTCTTGCATGCACTGAAGAGCATTTGGGGCAAGCTGTACAAGGAGGAGAGGCGTGTGGACGGACTTGCTCAGGCTGTAGGCTCCGGGCCAGGTCCAGGCACTCTTTCGCCGCCTGTAAACGTTTTTTTGCCCTTTACTCCTTGCAACCACGTCTGTCCAAAAGATGGTTCTCCAGTGTGTTTTTGTCGAATAAGCATTTGTTTGATTGTGTATGTGTACATGAGTGTCTGTGTCTCTAAAGTTTCACAAAGAACTGTGTAGATCACTGAAGTTTTGTTCCAAGCTTTCGTTGTCTGTTCCTACATGAAAAAACGGAGAGAATTGAGCCACGCAACATTTACAACAGTCTCAAACATACTAAAGGCCTGGTCACACCAGTATTTAAAAAACTGAAGTTTCACGCTCCATTCAATTTCAAATGGATTTATGAGCAGGGACTAAGTAAATATATGGAAATCTTATGCGTTTAGTTCAACTCTGAACTGAAATCTGATCCATGTGTTTGCACTGTTGAAAAAACAGCCCTCTTGACAGTGCTGACCTTTAAGGGAACAGCAAGCCAGAGTCAAAAATGGAAAAAGCTATTGTAGTGTATTAGCTGTGTTGCACCATCCACTTGTATTTAACCTCCTATGTCAAAGTATAAAACTGCTCTGTAACTGAGACGTGGCTTGCAGACAATTAGGAGACAGGAGTCGATGGTACAAACACTTTTTTTGAAGAAAATGTGTTAACGTCTCATCAGCAAATGAGCTAATGTGCTTGCTAATACACAGCAAGCCATTTGGGAGAGCTTTTTTCCTCCTCTTCAAAAAATCTATATTGAATTTAATTATGTACAAGCTTGAGAACAAAATGGCATAAAAGGTGTAGCACACAGAAAACGCAAAGAAGCCCGGACAGCTATTGTGACTGACCAGTGCTAGCATGTTCCAGGCTTGCTAGCAGGTTAGCTGATAGCACAAGAGCTGCAGTAGTTCACCAACTAGCCCTGCGAGCACTCACTATGTCAGTGAGTAGGTAAACTACTGCCACTTTCTGGTGTGACTGGGCCTTTATAAATGTGGTGTAGTGGGTAGTGACAAGACGGAAACTTACCTTGCCTCTGATCTGGTCACTGTATACTCAAACCATAAGATGTTGGGGATCAGGCTTGTGTCTCGCACCAGGAAGTACTCTGATATTGGCCTATTAATTGTGAAAAAGGAAATCGAAAGAACATGTTATTAGAGCAGCCATAATAGAGCAGTTTTATCCATTTAGTCTGGCTGAGGATGAATCATATTCCCCCTGTGACACAAGAAGGAAGCAGAGAAATGAGACCACTACTTACCACGCTGCTATTTTGGGGAATAATGGTGTCAGCACCTCTTGTGTGAAAAAGAACCAGATTATGCCAATTGTACTACCGGCCACTCCACCATAGAAAACCTGGCTCCAGGTGTGATACAACAAGTAGACCCTGAGGATGGGAGAGAACAACAATGTTCAAGGAAACACCAATTGTGCTTGTAGTCATAAACTAAACAGTCTAGCAGCATTGACTCAAAATAGTTTCAAACTTGGTGTGTTCAGTCAGCGAAAATGGTGTTACACAGGAAGTAGCACTATTTTGATGCCTTTGCTACACTTTGCTGCATACTCAAAATGTTCTAGTCCACCTGTCACGAGTGCGCAATTACTGGAAATGCTCAACAATGCTGGGATTAATGAGCTTCACATATTTTATTGGTTAAAGTACTTTATGCGAGCAATTTTTTGGTACCTGGCCAAAGATCATTTGTGAGCAGAGAAGCTTCACTCATCACTGAACAATCGCAAGTGTTTTTGTAGTTCTGACTAATAGCTCTTCTCCAGTAAAAGGATCTAGCAGATCCCGCTGATGCTATTTGGAGTCCCTTACCTGCTGTATGAGACTGATAAGGCTATGCCCAACAGGATGATGGACAGTATGTGTCTCCACAGCAGGTCCACACATCGAGCATTGTTCGTTTGATGCATTCTGAAAAGAGAGATCAGCAGGAGTTCACACCACGACAGGATGGAGTGACAGCAAATACAGAAAATATTTCCTCTTCTTTGTCATTTTATGTACAAACATACCTGTAAAATGAAACCATTTATAATTATTATAATTATTTAGATTTTGTTTTTTTATATACTCAACTTCAAAAATGTTTAATTGTAAAATTGCAACATTGTAGAAATGAAGAAAAGCTGTATTTGATGTTTGTGGACATTAAACTTTAGCTAGTTCCTATAGTATTAAGAACTTCACAGCGGCATATTTCCACCATATAACCTCCCAAAATGCAAAGAAGAAACAATCTCACCTTAAATAAAGGAAAAGAAAGAAGTAAACAACAAAGAACCAGATAAGTTGGGAATGGCTTGAGGGCATCCCATACTCTGTGTGCAGTGTTGTGTGAGCCCCTGCAGAAAGACAACAGAACCTGATAAAAATATCCACTACAATAAGGAGTACATCTTCATATAAATACAGAATACTTAAAAAAAATAAAATAAATCAGAATCAGAATTTACATTTACAACTAAAGTGAGCATCTCTCATCACTTAACAATATACAAATATTTGTCAAGGGTTGGACGATAACGCGATATCGTCAAATCAAAACAACTACATATTTCCATACTGTTTAAATTGATGTAATGCCTTTAACCTCTCTCTCTTATGAGGTGTGGATTTTCATATGACCTTTGCATCAGTCTGATGAAGTACCTTGATGTGTCAGGTATTTGATAATCATTTCATGCAAAAAAGTCAAACATTGTCTGGTTCCAGTTTCTGAAATGTGAGGATTTGACTTTTTCCCTTGTTTTATATACTTTTGTAAATTAAATATCTTTGGGTTTTGGACTGTTGACCGGACAAAACAAGACATTATAAAACATTACTTTAGGTTCTGGGAAATTATAACGGGCTCTTTTGACTAAAATGATGAATCCAATAATGTATTGGCAGATTGAACAAGAACCAAAACAATCTTTAGTTGCAGCACTAGAATACATTAGGGCTGCAACTGACATTTACTTTCATTATCACACGTTAGATATTCGTTGTCCCGTTCATGTGTGACAAAGCAAAGTACTCCTCACATTTCAGAAGCTGGAACCAGCATGTGACTAAAATTATGAAAATAAGTTTTATTTTCTGTCAACCAACTAACCCATAAAAATCCTTTTAGTTCTACTATATTACCCTCAATATTGCACTATAAAAGTGCATATAGGGTGATAGGTTTTACTCATATCACCCACGCTTATTATATCTATAAATAGTTTATTGTATCTAGTGACTCTGCTATTGGTACCGCTTTAGCCTCAGTAACACTAATCAAAAGCCAAACTGAGCATGATGTAACTATGTTATCTTAATGTAATGCATGCTGGAAAAATTTTAACGTATTGCCCACTTGGGCGTTTTATTTGGTCCAATGTGATGAAGACAGACTAGACTGTAATGAACTGCAGGTGCTCTGCAGCTGAAAAGATAAAGGGATAATGATCAGAAGGCAATATTGTGGCTATTGTGATGCTTTTGCAATGTTGCCCAATCCTGCCGATTACACATCAACACAGTAAACAGCTTGTGTTGCTTCACTCACCTGCACATGGGCGCGGCTCTCTGAGAATGTGCTTCAGCAGCCAGTTCACCCCTTCATTCAGGATGAGCCCACCAAAGAAGGAAATCTGTAAAAAAAAAAAAAAAAACTAACTGACTAACTTCTGGCCTGCATGACACCACTGTTCAGGTTCCTGTGAGGCACTAAACAGCTTTACTTTAAAAGTGATGCTCCTTCTGAGAACAACATGCATGTGCACTTACCGTGTGTAGCTCCCGTTTAAACACTATGAGTGTGACAAATCCCACAAGGATTGCTATAGGGAGGAGACTGATGTAGGCCAGCACTCGTCCCGTTAGATCACCTAAAACATAGTGACATAGTACTTATGTTAAGGCAACTCATCAACCAGAGTAAAGTCACCTAGCACTGATGGGAGTGACACTTCATGAGGTTTTCATTGAACCCGGATGGATGAAATATTTTACTGAGAGTTCAGGCAGGAAGCTGCTGTGGTGAGATAGCTAAGCCATCATCTAACTAACAAGACCACAATACGTGGGTTTGATCAATCAGACAGCTCAGTGCAATGAGGGTTCTGCTAGTTATAATCAGTATCAGGCCATGGAGCTAGCTACTCCGTTAGCCATAGCCCTGGCTACAATCCTATCCGGTGAAATATCTAGTAATTTCCACCACAGTCAGAAATCATATTTTGCTGTTCGGAATGGTTGAATTGTATCGAGTAATTGTTACAGGTCACGGCATATTGGCTAATTCATGAGAGAACATATCAAAGCCGATATTAACACAGCTAATAGGCTAGCTAGCCTTCATTGTGGACATCGTCGCTAACTGCGCATGCGGCGCTGTCTCACAATTTTGCAGTCTGGGTTACATTCCCCGCTGTGCTCTAGGATGTTACAGCGTCTCACAATTTGGCAGCATCACCAACGGCCGTGTCCATTCAGTAAGCAGCAAACACGCAGTCTTCGAAATTTGCTAAGCGGCTGGTGGTTAGTAGAGCTTTAGTAGCTAGAGAAAGATGTTGAGTTTACGTACCCTCGGGGAACTCTACGTGTGTCAGAGATATGGACCGCCATCGAGGTGGTGCCGAGCACTGCTCTTCCAACGCCATCTTACCCGGACACAACCGGGCAGTCCCAGTGAAACGCCCCAAACACGTGTCTAACCAATAGTGAACGGAGCTGTGTGTTCAAGCGGACCCCAGCAGCACAGGAGCCGTCCAATCCCAGCCGCACACTGGAGATAAGATGTTTTGCCCATAGAGAAGAATTATTGAATGAACAAAAAACACAAAAGTCCAGCACTTCACATCAAATCAGCGAACGTCACTTATAAAAAAAATAAGTAAAATAGACAAAGTTATTCTAAATTAATGTAGGCTATAAATTATTTACCACCTGAATCGTCTATAATGTGTATTTGCCCAGATATGTACTTGAAATCTGAATGATCAAATACTTTAAAAATGATTTTGTACCATTTTGTAATAAGCCACCTATTATACAGTGTTAACAATTTGTAACTTATTTTTATAACAGATATGTGAGCCATTCCCAACAGCAGAACTGCAACTGATGTTTATTTTAATTATCGATTAATCTACTGATTTTTTCTACATGAAATGATTAATTGTTTAGTCTATAACATGTATAAAAAGTGACCAACCAACTAACTAACCAAAAGATATTTCATTGACATGTCATATCTTTCATAGTACTTCCAGGTGTTTCTATCATTTAGTCCACCCCATTTATATCAAGTCTAGGCTAAATAATAAAAACACCTTTCTTTTTAATCCAGTACACTCAAACTGCATTGCAAACTGCAGCCTACAGCTGAATCAACACCTTTCCAAAACAGTTTCAACAAAAACATGAACATTATAACCTTCATGAATGTAGGATTTCTTGCGGGACTGTTGTATTAAACTGCATTAGGTTTAAAGAAAGAAGAAGAAAGAAACACAGTAACAGTAGTTTGCTGTGCAGGGAAAAAAACAGTGTCAGTATCTTAAAAAAAAAAGCAAACAGCCTATCTCATAGAATTAGAGGATTGTTTTAGAGTTGGTCTATTGACACTCTTAGATACAGCCTATTTCATCCACATGAGTTACAAATAGATCTAAATACTGGTATACAAATGTTGGTATATGGATATGGAAACCATGCAGCTACAAAACATCACTAGACAGACCAGAAAAGATTGTTGAGTATGATCAATGCAAACTGACTAAAATACTGTTATACAGAAGTGCATGTAGCAATATGAATATTAATCAGTTGAATTATAGGCTGTAGCAGAAAACACAACATAGAACAAAAACATAGAGTACAGAGAAAGTGTCCACCTGGACTGGACAGAGAAAGACAGTATACACCCATACACATAGCAGACTAACTCAGTGGCTTTTCCAAATCACATAAAGTCAGCCCTGACTAACAGATGCACACAGACCGGCAAACAGGACATACAAAGTAAACAGCAAAAACCTGAATAACACTAGTTAGTAATAATACTAACTTTCCATACTCAATAAAGAGACTGTAGCTCCCACTTTAAATTATAAAGCAACATAATAGAGGAAGCACATATGGTAAAAGATGTGTGTACCCTTTAGTCTCTAAAATGTCTTTTAATGACACCACTAAACAGAGTTTCAAAGCCTCCAAGCCATACATCGGCAACAGAACAAACAGAAGTGGCCCTGTGATTCTATGGTTTGGGGATGGTAGTAGAAGGATACAGAAATACTGTAACAAGAAGGTCTGTGCTGACACAAACTGGCGACCCTCCGGTTCGTAAGCCAAGTCCCTACTGAGCTAATACTGCCCACATGTTAAGCAATTAAAATGTTTACCATGTCCTCCATCTTAGTTTAGCCAGAGTCTTTGTAGGCTATATAGGCTCTATAAAACTTGTCCTGATGGTGACAGTAGATGAAAGGTTAAGGGGTCACTAAAGTGATAACAATTCATCCTTAGGGGGATGTATGTACCAAATTTGATGGTAAATTAATCCATCCAAAAGCTGTGGGGATATATCACTACATGTTAAAGAGTAGAAGCCAAAACACCAGTAGCAACTGTTATGCCATGTAAGAGCTACTGACAACTTTTAAAATCTATATCTTTATCGTCCTTTATCGTGGCTATAGTAAGAAAGATTTGGAAATACTTTTGTCAACAATGGGAAATCTTCATGACTTATGCCTTTGCTACTGCTGGCAACATTCAGTATAAAGTTGTTTTGAATCATAAGAGTATAGGGAACTGGATAACTGGGATCTCATATCAGTTCAGTCTGTCTTAAACACTGTAGTGTTTTTGCCACCTTGTGGACAATCTCATAGTCTGACAATTACAGTTACAATTTTAGCCATCTCAGTGCATCAAAAGGCCCCCTTTCATCCATTTTTCTCACTTTTTATTTCCATTTATACTTTTTTAAGGACAGAATATCCTCTTTTTAATCAAGCCAGTGGTTCTTAGTCATTTTGAAAAATACACCTCTCTACCACAGAAACATGAAATACAATGAGCCGTCATCAGTTGGGAAAAGGCATAATAAACATATTGTTTAATAAGAAAAGATAACATTTAATATGGAGAATCAAAATCAATTTACATTTGTGCTGGCATTGTAATCTAACAATAGAAAAGACAAAAGGCATGAATAGGACACTTGTAATGTATAGCAGTGAAAAAAATCATTCATTCCACATTTTGGCCATCTGAAATCCTCGCAAAACAATATAATCTATTGAATATACGCTAACTAGTCAAGTCCATGCATGAACTTTGACTTCCTAAAAATTTTCTTTAAAATAATTTCTAATTGGGATCTTCAAAACTAACAACTAGAGCCGAGTCTGGTTCTAAACGTTACAGGGATACACTGATTGATTCATTTCAGAGAATTTACACTGTTAACATGCAAAGGCTGTTGAAGGAATTAATCTCTGATCATCTACTCTCAGGACAAAGCAGACTAATATGTCAACACAAGACTAAACATAATCGCATTTACCTGTGTGAGCATGTTGCGAATGTACTTGATACTCTACAAAAACAGGACTAAAACATGGAGAATAGCTTTTTTAAAGCAGTTCATCAGGGATTGGATAGTACGCAGTCACAAGTTAAAACTGAGAATTTGAACATTTTAAAGATGGAGACAAAAACATTGGATTGTAACCAGAATAAACCATTTCCATAATATAGTTTTTTTTAAAGATAGTTTCTCTACAGTACAGCAATTTATGCTCTATGTTATCAATAATATTTCAGTTCTACAATGCAATAAATAATTAAATATGTTTGTACAGTTAAACTCTCATAATTGATTATTCAAAGGGGATTGTTGGACATTCGTGTATCTTTCTGCTTTTCTGATAAAGTGCAAAATGCTTAAAAACACAAAGCTGCACATGTGTCAAAAACTAAATGAATTTCTGTAAAAGCCCTATTTACAGTTGGAAGTTCTGGCTCATGTTAGACAGACACAAAAATAATTCTACAATGCTGATGACTCTTGACATAGCCAGTACAGTTTAACAAAACACAATGGGACTGTATTGCCACATGTGAGAGTCCAAAAACCATTTCTGAGCACTGAATTTCAAAGGCATGTTGTAACAAGAGCAGGATTTGGATTATCAAGCCCACAAATCACACTTATATGATTACGAATAACAAGCTGACTTCTGCTTATTTGTATGATAAACTACTGAAGTCAGAGTACCACAAGATCTATGAAACCAAAATGATTTGACAGATATCTCTTCCCTTTTCTCACTCACGCAGGCAACCATAAGCATACATTTTGTGCTTCTACTGCCATTAATAATAAATCATCTTTTCTTTATTATATATGTGTATATATATATTTCAATAAGATACTTAGGTATTTGACAGTGTCTTAAACAAACATTAACTACAATCTGCATAACACAAATCTGCTTTTATAGTAGTGGAGTTACCCATGTTAGGATTGCAGAAGAAAACTGCCCCTTCCGTGTCTCTGTGCTCCAACAAGTATTGGGGAATACAAACACAAACTCAGGGGTTTTCATCAGTGCAGGTTACAGTCTAACTGTACAATGCATGGTTCTTCATTACAGGTCCTCATGAAATCAAAATCAAAACGACTAAACCCTAGCAGATGGCACGGTTTCATTCAGAGGTTGTGTCGATTTTAAAATGTTCTGGGGAGAAAACAAGCTACACACATTTATGTCTCTAGACATGGGAAATACCCATGTGTGTTTCTAATCAATTTTGTATTTTTTAAGTCTCTGGCATTTTTGTGGATGACATTTTGACGTTGTAGTATGAAAAGCACAGGTGTAAATAATTCAAATGAATGATGGCTGAGTATAATTTAGCTGCTTCGGTGTCGGCCTCCTGGTATTGTGCATGCTGGCTCGTTGTCACGTCTTACTGAGACACTTGATAAGAACAGAGCCATCGTTAACATTATAAGTTACCTCTGTGCTTTTACTACAATGCTGTGATCGAGTGAAAACAGCTGATTTTCTTTTCTGAACCACACATCCTATACTTGTTTACAGTAGAGCTGCAACAATTAATCGTAAACAATTAAATTAATCGCCAGCTATTTTGATAAGTGGTTTGATTTTTTAAGAAATAAAAGTCAAAATTATCTTATTTAAGCTACTTTAAATATAAATATTTTATGGCTTCTTTATTTCTCTATGACAGGTCAAACAAATTCTGGAAGTACTATTGTTCCAAATTCTACATTAAAAACACTGTACTATATCATCATATTATTGTGTTTTGATACTTTTCCCTAAACAAAGTCACAATTGGTATTTTTTTAGTTGGTGAATTTACACATAGCAATTACAATTTAGGCCCAAATATTTGTCTGTCAATAAGTGACACACTTCCTAATATTGATTTCAAGTCATAATGTAACATATTACTCCCTGAGAGCACGCTTTGAGATATTTGTTTTCTGTTACACCTTCAAAACTGACATAATGCTCTATATGATGGTTTCAGACAGATGTTTTCACACCTGGTATTGCGTCATTGCAGTGGGTAGTGGTTTCTTTTTGTGCCTCCGTGCTACTTAAAACTAGTAATATTCATGTGATCCATTGACAGATAAAATCTGAGAGATCCAAACTTTACAAAACTTAGGCACTTGCATCTTAGCTGGATTACTGCTATGTCCACTTTGACTGAGAAGTCAAGTGTGGAAAAAACTGTGGTCTGTGGTCAAGATATCGCTTTGGGATAATTCAGAGTCTATATGAGTAACATGTTGGCACTCTACACTAATTTTACACATCTTTTTGCATTCAACACAGTCTCTTGGATATGTGTGCCCGATTAAACCAAATTGGAATAAATGCTTCTTCGGATTAAAGCGGATTTAAGAACAATCAGTGAGCAGACAAATGCATTATGTCTTTCACGCAGAACAAGCCTTCAGCTGGCCAAGCCTGTCAGGATTATCATGGTTTTAACAAATATCCATCCCCTTTAATATAAAACATACAAATGCACAATACTGACAGACTCTCACACTATTTCTTTTCACATAACGAAAACTGCGATATCCTGTTCAAATCCTACTAGTCAGATGAATGCAAGATTACTGGTTCTCAGAAGAGATATGATCCATGTGGAGTAATAACGAAGAAGGCCCAGTCTTCATGTGGTGGGAGCAGTTCTGTCTGGTGTGTTTTTTAAGAAGAATCCAAGTCATCCAACAAGGCAGAGACAAGTCCTCACACGTCTGACATTATGTGACTACAGAAGGCATTCTTGATACGCAAAACATCAGCTGACAACAAAGAACTGATTACATCACATTATCTATCCGCTCACGTTCATTGGTACAAGGACGAGTGATACTGTAGATCTGGTGAAAATATATCCTCTTACAGTAGTTGTGTTTGATGGACTCAGATGGATGAACGAGTAACGCTGATTCTCAGTGCATCACAGGAGCATGATTCCATCCAGTGTTAATGGAGATACAAGAAAAAGTGTTGAGCCTTGAGTTTTTGCCGTTCCCTACTGGTCAGTCCACTGCATTCGGCCTGTACTAGCCCACTGAAGCCATTAGTGACCGTACTCGTCTTAGCTATGCCCTGAAGTGCCCTCTGTGTCTCTGGGCAGGCCACCATTGAGCTCCGCGAGGCTATTGATTCCCAGATACCCCAGTAAAATCTCACTCCGGCGGTGGGAAAGGTTCAGGATGTCCTCAGCCAAGGACTGAGCGGAGGTGAAACGGACCTTGTCATGATCAAACATATCCTTAAGGTACTGCACGATTTGTTGCTGCAGAGGGAAGGAGAGAAATAGGACAGATACGGTTATGTACCCAACATGGTGATTCTCGCTTTAAAAACGGGTCCACCGATTTTACACAGAAAGGTTATTTAACTTATCAGGGTTAACCCTATTTAGCCTGTTTAAACTCTTGAGTCATTAATGTCTTCGTCAAATAAAAAAACCCCATCATATTGGGTTGGGAGAATAAAAATATATAACAGAAAGGCTCCTCTGTGTCTCTTGCAAGCCTACCAACTTTATGGAAGTCCAACACAGCACTGAAACTGATTAAATAGTCAAACTTGAGCGGCAGAGGCTGAGATGTCCTGACTTTTAGCCCCTAATATGAGTCATGTCCCCAACACTGGATCCTAAACTTCAAAAAAATGCAACTTAATAGCATCTTTCATTAGAAACTACCTGCCTGAGAAACACCAACATTTTTCAAACTCCACCCCAAGTTTGTAACGCAGGCTTACTGTTATAAATCTGACAAGCAAAAATTGAGATAACCCTGATGTCATGAAAGGTTATTTGTCAGACTTTTGAAGATATTACACAAATGTTTTGAATGCTATATAGTCCTCCTCATGACAAGTAAACTGAACCTCATGTGTAAAATCGTTGGAGTGCCCCTTTAAATTACACCACAGTTATTCGCTTTCCAAAGTATTGACAAAAATCACAGCTTCTTAGTTGCGTATCCTCTCACCTTGAAGATAGTGCACACTTCACTTAAGTGTTGCCTGGGTCCTAAAAACCCAAAAGCTAAAACTGGGCTCACATGTTCTGATATGGCATAGAAGTGGGAGATAAAACCATCAGGAACCTATGGAGAGTAAGGAGTCATCAGAATTAAAGATACAAAATGGTTTGACAAACAAAAATGCAATAAAAAGCACTCAAACCCACCATAAGAAGACGCCTTTTCGCTTTTAGGACAGACCAGCAAGCAGTCGCCAGAGCCTGACAGAAAAACAACTCCGTTATTAGAGTATCTTGTGACTAAGCTATCAGTGGCATAATCAAGGACTTTTGTGTGTGTGTGTGTGTGTGTGTGTAAATTAACCGTCTCCTTGAAGCTGTCAGAGAGCCAACGGTTCCTCAACACAGCTACCACAGAGGAGGGAGGGCTCTCCAGGTCTTCAAATGCATCCATCAGGATGAAGTCCAACACTATGTCGAAAAAATTCATACACACCACCTGCAGGGATCATGACATGACAACCAATGAGAAGCAATATTTAAAAGAGCGGGTCCCTTTACTTATTTGTGTGAGACACAGTCCTGCTGATGAGTTCACACTATTTCACTGATTAACAGTTGGTGGCAGTAATGTCCCAAGTTATGTAGCAACGTGCCAACAAAGGCAAGAATGAAATCGAAGATTAGATTAGAGATTATTATATTAAATACACTGATAAATTGACAATAAATAAATAAACAAATAAATAAATAAGTGATGAAATATATTAATAAGAAATTAAATAAATAAAGATCAAATAAAAATATAAATATCTCTCTCTCTAAATTAGTAAGGAGGCGTTGAAATCAACAAATTAGCCATGAAATATATCAAAATAAATTCAATATAAAAAAGAAATGTTTACTACTATAAAACTCCCCTCCAACTATATTCGCTGTGCTTTAATTAATTCTGTATCTATTTGAAGGCGGGCTTTTTAAAATTAATTTCATGATTTATTTATTTCATGATGACGCTTATTAATCAACCACTGGAGGTGATTTCAACATTTATGTTGAGTTGAAAATGAAACCAAAAATGGCTGCATGTGTATTGGAAATCTTTCAAGAGATCGGATTCATATTATACCAAATGAATAATTTATAGAAAGATGGAATATTTGTCAGTTACCAAAACAACTAAAAGTGAGCTTTACACCGAGTAAAGCGAACAGTAACCTGACTGAAGGCCGTACTTCAAGTTTAATTCAGGTTTGTCACAGGGTATCAAGTCCGAGTATCCCTGTTTCCATGAATAAACCAATACACACATCGTTAAACATAGTTTAAATTCAAAAATGAAATCTCATTTATTTAAGATTCAGCTGTCTGAAAGACTGACCCTGTAATATAGCCTGACAGACCTTTGAGCTACATTCACGACACCACTCACAGGTTCTAACAATTGCAGGATGTTTGATAACAGAACGGCATTATTACTCACCCCTCGGCCCTCCAGCTCCATCTTAGTGATGGGCCACGTTTCCTCTCGCTGAGTGTAAAGCAGCATGTCTTCATAGCTCTCCAGGAAGGCTTTGGGACTCTGCGATGAAGCAAAAAAATAACACAGGAACTGATTAGTTACAGATGTCCACAGAAGCAGACGCTTTATCCAGATAAGACAAATTAATAAGTGTGGATCTAAATGAGTAATGTTTTACCTTGTTTGCCTTCACCATTAACCCTGTAATCATTTGCTTCCCGGTCTCCATGAAAAATGTGCGGTGAGTTTCATCTAACAACAGAAACTGAAAAGAAAAAGCATTATCAGTCTATTTTCTATGGTAATTTCTAAAGTAAACTGGTCCATCTGATCATTGAAAACCAATGTACAATCATCGTCACGGGCCAAAAGGAAATATATACTCCACTGTAAAGTGCAACACAGACATGAATGCTAGCTTCAACTCCAGCTATACAGTTGTGTAGAATCATTAGATTCAATTTCCATGCCTGTACAGACGTTTGCCTGAGACTAGAAAACAAAGCAGAGACAATGACCAAAGTTTCATCCATGTTTCACCGTGAGTCCCCTCTCCTGATTGCAGCAGCTGTTTTTTTTCACCTTGTAGGTTTTGTAGGGCTTGAACTGAAAAATTGGGAACTAGGCATAATTACTGTTTTTACCAAAAGTTGACGTGAAAACACTGCAAACTACTGACGGTCAGAGAATTGTAGTAGAGGAGCTCAAAAGTCCCAGCAGGTGTAGCTGACTGCAGCAAACGTATTTTCGCACTGCTATTCGTTCTTTACAATCTGAGTAATGCTGAAAGACTTAAACATAAATCAAGAGATATCTGGTGTGTGTGGTTTGTCACGTTGAACAGGTTCGTGCGGTGTTGCTATGACGACCAGCTACATAGAGTGGGTACTATCTGCAAGGCAAAACGGAGTACGGCGGGCCAAAAGCGAGTCAAGCAGAGTCGAGTCAAGGCGAGCTGAGCTGATACCAGCAATGGAAAAGCTCTGTATTGAGTGCTTTCTCAGTTCAGTTTAACCTAAGCCCTTCCCACTTGTTCACAGCTCAATAGAGTTTTACAGGAACAATAAATAATAATATAAAATAGTTAGTCATTTAGCTGACGCTTTTATCCAGAGCGACTTACATTTGCAATGTATGTCAGAGGTTGCACGCCTCCGGAGCAATGTCTGCTGGATGTGAGTGTATATAACCAAAATGATTAAGCTACCAAGCTTTTGACCACTAGTAATGTCAGAGAGCAGTGTTTTGATGATGTTTGCAGTTTCAAAAAATTAGGAAATGGCTTAATGTTGTGGGTCATCACAACAACCACAATCATTTGAGCAAAGAGAATGATCTATGTAGTATGGGTAAGTCATGTGAGCTGAAACTGACCTGGAATGCTTGTCTCACACAATGAAGCTTGGCAAGGAAGTCTTGGTCACCAAAACATTCAAGTAATTCAGTCCTGGTGAAAAAGAGAGAGAGAGACGTATGAAGCTCAAATAAACATTATTCCTCTCTTTGCTACTGTTCATTCAGAGGTCTATAAATTGACTTTTTGGCAGCTTGGGAGATCCAAACAATTATATTTTTAGACATCCAGTTGACACAGAGCAACATTAGCATTCATTTGTCGCCACTTGATGAATGTAATTCCAATTTTCACTCCTTTTAGGTTTGTGCCTACTCCTATGGGAAACATCTGGCTCTTTAGCTCCATTATGTTCACCAGCTAGTTGCTAACTGTTTCTGTCTGCTGTTTGGGGCTGGGCAGATAGCGTACAGTGCGTTTACATGAGCTATTTCGCAGGAAAAAGCTGACTGCTACTACGTCTGGAAATGACAGTGACGAGAGCAGTGAGGGTGAACCAAAACAGCTGCCAAAGTGTTGGACCATAAAACCTAAACAATGTGCTAAAAGACATTTAAACTCTCCATAGATGTGTGGGTAAAGCAGAGTCGGGTGATACTTCTCTGTGGGTTAGCGCAGCTTTAAGTATTTACTGTAGGTACAGATGTTACTCTTCAGTGTTACCTCAGGGACCTATAGGCCACTTTGCTCTCCCGGACCAGAGACAAGGCTTCTTCATACAGAGCTGCTGGCTTAAGTGGCTGGTAGACCTCTTCTAGAGACATGGCATCAAACAGCTGCACAGAAAAGAAACACATATACCTCAGTTTAGTCTGTGAATGCATCTGCAAGGTATAAGAGTGTACTAGTATGTGTCCTTGATACAAATACTAGGGGGGGCTTGGTAAATCAGTGACTGCTGTGATGATGGAAAGGAACTAACCTCTGCAGCCGAGAAGAAGGACTCGTCAGAGGTAACAGTGGTCGCATCATCATCTCGAAGTCTGTGGAAACTCTCCACTTGAGGCAAGATAAGAGTTCCTTCACTCTCTGCCAAAGGAGCAACATAAACTCTGACTGACAGGGCAAGAATCAAAACACAGATTTACTTAACAGAAATATAAAATGTGCGCTCCCAAACGAAACTGTATTACTACTGATACAGGCCAAAACACCAAGATTCTCCTTAAACAAGTTCTTTTTTTCGCTGCAACTCCAGTGTTTCCTATTCATTGATTTATTTGTGTCAGCCCACCACATTATCAACATTGACTGCCTTATCTTTGTTTGCTATTTTTCTTTAACATTTAAAATCGTATCCAACTAAATTCTTAGCTGACTGGCTTATCCTTCACAAACTACCGTCCTCAGCCAAATTGAATGTTCAGTGAGTGGGACTACGCAGTCGGAGCTCAGGTGTTCTGTCGAATCGCTGTGCTACTTACTGCTTCTGTTCACTGTATATACTTTATTTGTGTCAATGTGAAGCAATGGAGCTGTAGCCCACAAACTGCACTGCTCAGTTATCTATTTATCACAAAGTTCTTCGCAATCAAAATATTTGCATGGGAGCACCTATATACGATATTATTTAATAATTAATTTAAGAAAGTGCGGGTGGGCCTCTTTACAGTGGCTCCGACCAAGACTCCGATAGAAGAATGTGTGCTGAGAAGCAAGGGAACTTTAATTTCAGAGCTTTGTGAATGGAGTTTGGTGTAACAGTCTTTGCTCACAGGCAAGAACAGAGCATCAGGACAGCTACATCCTCTCCTGATACCCTCCATTAGCTAATCCCAGACCTGAGCTGAACTACACTATTGGACTATCATCTCTTGAGGTACAAAGTGGTATTATGAGACAGGACGGGGGCCAGGGCTAGCTGGTAGTATGCTAATTTCAGAAGAGATCTCTGAAACACTATATATACAAACTCTTACATTATAACAATTTTTTGTTTTAAACAAAACATATCTTACACATTTTAAAGTCATAAAATCAATATGATTCTTACCAAAGTCTGCCAGCACACTGTCTGTTGGGATGGTGCTGCCAAAATCCTCTTGTAGGTGGTACGCCCTGTGCAGTAATGTCTCCAACTTCTCAGCAAACACTTTATTACGGGCTTCACCCTATAATGAAGAGGGGGAAAGCATAAAACAAGTTAAAGTTACCTAATTGCTTAAATAGTTAATTAAATACTTAATAGCATTTAATAAATAGCTTAAGTCCACGATCAATTAGTGTGCCCCCCCACCCCACCTCACACCCAATTGTACTGCATTGGTATGGTGTCACTTAAGAGCATCACAAGTACAGCAGGTGAAATCACAACTGCACTGAGTGTAAAGTTATCCACACATGTACAAGAATTTCAGCCAGTCTGTACTGTTAATGATTGTTCGATGGTTACCAGAGGAAAGTCTCCACGCGCTGCCCCCTGCAGAGCGAGGCTGTTGTTACTGGAGTTCGAGTGTGTGTGATGGCGAATATTCAGGGCCTGTTCCCACTTTTGTAGAGCTTCCTCAAACAGCTCCATCCCTAGCAAGAAAAAGGGTGATTACTAAACTAAACTGTCTATTTGTGAGCAGGAAAATCAAAACTTTGAGCTAGAATTGAACAAAAGTGGCACAGAGCCTCAGAGTTCCTCAGAGGTTTAAGTGACCTGAGTCTGTACAGTTGCAAAATGTGTGTGTGTGTGGGGGAATGACAGAATTCCTGCAGGATAATCCGAATGCCAAACAACAGAACTCTGGCTCCAAAAGTCCAACATTTAACTGATTATATATTAGACTTCCTCCACTTGTTCTACATTACCAACAAGCAGAAAATGCATGCTGTATTATAATTATAACTAAAATGGTATCAACACAAAGACAAATACCTTTTACATTATAATCAAGATCTAAAGATTAGAATCCAAACCAAATGCACATGTGAATATTTTCCCCTCCACATTATTATCCACATATTCTGCCAATGGAGCAATTGTTACAATTGTCACCAAAACAGATGATTTTGTTTCATGATCCATCGTTATTTCTGACTAAAAAGTACTTAACAAACACAAAGAAGTATAGCTTATCTCTCTGTCCCTCTCACTATCTCTCAGGTAAGAAAGCAAAAAAATGTCACCACATTTGACATGCAATTTGAGTATTACATTTTTATAAAAGCAGGAATAATGGTAAATAACTACCCATTAAATAGAGATTCTCTGCATTTGCATCCTCTACTGCTCCTGGCTCTTCCACCACAGGCTCTGCTTCCCAGGGGGTGGATGGATTGGCAGACTGATTTGGAGAGCTTGGGACCCGCATCTATGCCAGAAACACACACAGAAAGACACATTAGGAAAATGTGGAATAAGGGAAATGGTAAGCAACCATTTAATATAATTTGTTGTAAATTGTGAAACTAACAGATGCCAGACTGTGTGAAGAACTTGAGTGTTTACTGGGGGCCAGGGAAGAAATTCCACTCATGGTGTCATTGCTGCGAGTGCTGGGACTCATCATCTGTCGGCCAGGAAACGGACCTGTGCAGAGAAAAACATCCTCTTGTTGGCATATTTCTCAGTAGATGTTGATAAACCAGTAACCACAAAGCCAAACTGAAGCAGTACATCATGCACACCTCTCTTTAATGATGAGGGTCTTCCTGTCTTCATCAGCGCCTCAGGTATTCCCACTGTCTTCTGGCCCTCCTTCCCTTGTGTTACCTGCTTCCTTTTTCTCCCCCGCCTTTTCAGCTGATGAGCAGTGAGCGCCAGAGCTACACTACCCAGTGCTGTAGCAAAGAGCACCTTCTTCAAGTTTGGGGTAAGCTTTAACTGGGAAAATATGGACTGAAAGCAGGAGAGGCAAATGTTTTATTGAACAAGTTGACACAGGATAGCAAATAGTTCTTGTGTATGGAGATGCAAAACTTAACTGTACATGCAAAGTGATTTACCTGCCCAAATGTGGAATAGAGAAACACCGGTATCTCTGCTACCGTCATGGCCAGAGCCTGGGCGATAGACATCCCCTCTGCTTGTTTGATTGACATCTCAGATACTGAAATGCCTTCAGGCCACAGCTGTCCAAAGCTCCCTCACATTCACCCTAAAGAAGGTCTCCCCCTCTGCTCTGAGATCAGCCAGCTCAGGGGCTTGCCGATGCGCCGTCTGTCGTCATACACTCCTGGGCCTGCACTGGTCCAGTGTCTGACTGTAGATTTATTACCCTACAAATGATAAGACATGAATTATGGAAATGATCTGAGTGTACCAGCCTCCTCCTAATTCAGAGCAGCATTACATTGCACAGGCTTTGTAATGATAAGGACATGGCATCAATAGACATACTTATCTCTAAAACAGGAGTGTTGGTTTCAGGGCACACACCCTTGACACACGCACACACACGCAATGGTTTAAGCAGGGAAAATCACGCTTACATTAACTGTTAAGCACCAGAGAAACTTGACATTCTTCCAGCGACTTATCTGTCTACCCTGATTGGTATGCAGCCAGTGGAGCAGGCTAACCCTCACTTAATGTTACTGTAACTGACAAACAGCAGGGGCGGCTTCAGCACTAGACTGGCTGACTTTTTCCTCACACCTTGGGGCAGAACTGAGTAATACAATAAAACGTCGGCGGCCAAAATATAACAATATTTTTCCAGTCCGACAGAGAGGCTGCTCTTAACGTTAGCTGAGGGAGACTTGTCAAACGTATAAGGTGAATAGCAACCTAGGCAGTTAGCCCGTCCAGGCAGCGGAGACCATGAATCAAACGTTCGATTTTTACGAAAATACATATCTAGTCTGAGCTCTGTCTTGGAACAATGTGTTAATGACTGGCCAAAATCACAACCAGCAAGTAGGCAACAGTCCTCACAGGCGAGCATGCTAACGTTAGCTAGCACACTTCGCTAGCCTAGCTCAGCCTCATCTGTCACCTCACATCACAACATCATCCTGTGGGGCTTTAAACTGACACCTCGGAGGCTTCAGTGGCTCTGTGTACAGCTCATCAGCGGCACAACTAATAACATAATCCCTCACATAGGTACATACCGTGAGCATCTAAGGCGGCAGGGAAGGACATACCTGTGTCACAGTCAGTGAAAGCCGCACACTAGCCTTTTCTCTCGGGGGCAAGGGCTTCAGAAAAGCAGGAATACTGACGCGACGGCCAGCCAATGGGAGAAGGAGAACGGAGTGTTGCTTTTTTTCTTGACCAATCGGATGGAAGGTGAGAGGAGTACGAACTATTACAATCCAATCAGGTCGTAGATCATACAGCACCGTCCCTGCATGGACACAGCTCAAAAGGGAAAAACTGTCAGAAAGTTTCCTGTGAGGCGTGTATTTGTAAATAAACCATTAACATAACACGAAAGACATGTAGAGGAGTTATGTTTGTTATAAATAATCACATACATTATTATACAATATATAATATATACATACCATATTATAATATATAATAATAAGAGGCCTAAGAATCTCTAAATTTATAGCAGCTTCCTTTCTGTGTAACGTTACTTTTGCTCCTGGATATAAAATTACATTTTGGGCGTTCTTCTCTGATACAGAGACCCGCCATATAATAGTGCTTTTATAAACAAGCAAACAAAGACGCTTGAAAACAGTCTTCGTAGCCCACAATCATTTCTGCGACGTTGTATTGTGGAACGGTAAATTTACGAGTGACACATGAAGGCGGCATTACACAGTTGTCACGGTTGTTTCCGGTTTTGGCATATGATCTAGATTTCAGAATAAAGCATCCGCGACAGGTAAATACAGAAGAAGTGCGTTGGCCTATGTATTTTATGCTGTAGTTGTCGAAATATAGGCGTACAATGGTTTCTATGGCCATGTTTTGTATAAATGTATATTTGCCTTTTCCTGCCTGGGTATTTTTGTGGGCTAAGGTTGTAGGCCCTTGTGTTCAGATTACACTTGTTGTGTGAAAAAGCCGTACCGGAAGCTCTGTGCTGGAGAGAGAGAGAGGAACACACCAGATGAGATAACGGTAAACAACTGACAGATTTCAGATAATAGTACATTTAAACAACTATAGATTAACGTTAGACAATAACAGCAGAACAGTTGTATGCCAGGCAATGAAAACTAAAGTTACACTGAAAAGAAAAAGGATCCTGGACTTGAGAACTCACCGGACTGAGAGTAGCCATTAAAATCTGTAGGCTAAATATGAATCCTGTTGATCGTGGTTCGTCCGTGGCTGGGCTTGTCTCTCTCGCCGATTCTGCCTCACGTTAAGCGGCTGGAAAAATGAGCGCCACCGGGCTCTCTGGAGCAGGGCTTTCCCAAAGACCTTGATATGAACTCTCTGGTAAGAACGAGTCTGTTATTTAATTCAATGTGTACTCATATATTAGATAGATGTTTATTAAGTTAGCCTGCATGTCCGGATGTGCATCCTTCAAACCTAAACAGCTATGTTCCACTTTCCCCCGACCGATAAAGATGCTCCGCTGGCTCTGCCTGCTTAGCCTGAGCCTTTCTCTGTTGTTTTGGTTTGGATATGTGATGAGACGGGTCGGTCCAGCCACTGCTGTGCAAAGCACCGGGCTCAGGGGCTACATGAAGATCACCCCCGGCAGGATGGACCAGGTGAGAGCCAGGGTTTGGGGTTATACAACAAACAGCTTTCAGAGTTAGTGAGTAAGTACATTTATTTATATAGCATAGCATTTTCAGAGATAAAAATCGCAAAGTGCTTCACAATAAAATGAGATACAATACACAAAAACATAGAAGTACATAGGAAAAACATAAACTAGACAGCCGTAAAATCCAAACAGTCTTAAATTGCTTTTTAAAGAATCAACAGAGCTTCCCAGAGCCCAGGTGCCACTGCTTGAAACGAATATGTGAGTTCAAGTCCAAGAAAGTTACAGAGGGAGGGTGCAGCTATGAAGAAGGTTCTCTCGCCAGTGTAGGTTCTGGAGGACTTCTGTAATTGTGGCAGCATAACAATAGAAATTTAACACAAACTTTCTTATCCTGTCCTCTTCCTCAACAGGTCCTGAACATGCACTGCAGCCAGTGTGCCTTAGTCTCCAGCTCAGGTCAGATGCTCAGAGCTGGCGTTGGAGAAGAGATAGACAAGACCGAGTGCGTGATCCGGATGAACAATGCACCCACGCTGGGGTATGAGAAAGATGTAGGGAACCGCACCAGTGTTCGGGTTGTGTCTCACACCAGTGTTCCCCTGTTGGTGAAAAACGAGCTCTACTATTTCCAGCAGTCAGCCGAAACTACGTATGTGTTCTGGGGTCCTGAGAGGAACATGAGGCAAGATGGGAAAGGACGCATCTTCAATACTCTGCTGAAAATAGCAAGGAAGTACCCTAACGTCAGAATCTACGCTGTGACTAGAGAGAAGATCCAGTACTGTGACAAGGTTTTTCAGAATGAAACTGGAAAAAACAGGTATAGTTTGAGTTTAGCATCGCAGTCAAATAAAAAAAAAAGAAGAAGCTTAATTTCATCAAACCAGCCTAAGAGCTTAACAGAAAAGTAAACAAAGGCAAGAGAATAAAAATTAAGTCTGTAGGACCTATTTCCGTTTCATTAATTGGATATTGGCAACACAAAGTAAGTTAACTTTAAATAAACTGAAACTCCTTTCAAACACATAGCTTAAATATATTAAAACTAAAAATAATGCTCCGTGTTCATCCTTATTTATTATTCAGTTCAATTCAATAGGGATTTATTGGTATGGGAAACAGACATTGCTAAAGGAAGTGTGGAATAAAAACCTGTACATAAACACAATGATGATATTAATAATACATATATATAAGGAAAATACCATACAAATATAAATAACTGTATATAAACACTGCAACATTTTTTAATTTATGCATGTGTGTTTGTATAATTATCTGTCTCTGTGACTGTTACGTTTTTTTTTACCATTCATTTCCATTTGTCACAAAGCTCCCTTCAAAACAAGGTACTTGTGTGTGTACAAGAAATAACAAAATAAAAGCTATTAAACAAAATACACACGCAAACTTTGCTTAGCTATAGAAATAATAATAATATAAACAGCAATGATGTAAGGTGCTAGTTTTTGGTTTTAATTTTGGTCATGTAAGAGTTTGACAGATGTTTGGTGTCTCACTCAGAATGAAGACGGGGGCGTTTCTCAGTACTGGTTTCTTCACAATGATTTTGGCAATAGACATGTGTGACAGCATTCATGTTTATGGAATGATCGATGATAACTACTGCAGGTGAGACCCGATTTTATGATCTCCTACTCAAGCTCCAGCTTTTTCATATTTGAGTATCTTAAATAACCTTTACCTACCTCTTGTACTTTACTCCTCCTGTCAGCCGACCCAATCACAATGTTGTTCCTTACCATTACTATGAGGGGAACCGAATTGATGAGTGCAGGATGTACAGGGTCCACGAGCACACGAAGCGTGGGGGCCATCGCTTCATCACTGAGAAGGCCATCTATGCCAGATGGGCCACACAGCACAGGATGGACTTTAAACACCCGTCTTGGAGCTTCTAAAGAAGGAAATATTAAACTGCTGTACAGCGGGAGTCACTTTTATGACTGGCTGGCTTTTGATCCTTTTGCTGAAGATTTGAGTGTCACCTGACCAGGAAATGTATCAAGTGGAAACCAGCTTTCATTTGACTTTTCTATTTTCTTTTTTTTTTTACCAACTCAACAGTTTTCAAGTAGAAAAGGCTCCCATTTGATACCAGCCCACAGTGGATGAAATTATCTACAACCATAAATGATTAGCAAGATGTTTATGAAGATTCTCAGTCATCCAGGTCATAGTTATCCAACGAGGGTTAAAATGAAGGGCAACTGGACTTGGTTGAAGATACTGGAAGACGTTTCGTCCCTTATCCAAAGGACTTCTTCAGTTCTGACTGACTGGCAGGGAAACTCAGCTATTTAACCTCAGTGGGGTCGTTATCCCGGGTCATCGATACCGCTGGTTCGTTAGTGTTCCTTGTTGCTGTGACGACGGTCGTTACAGTCGTTGAGACTACCTGTGGCCAAGACTGAACGACTATCGTTGGTATCTTCACCTGAGGCCAATAGGTTACGTTTGTTGAGTTTCCTGGGAAGTGATGAAAGGACAGCATTGTAAGTGGGGGATAAGTGGTGGCGTAGACCCCCTCCCCTGTTCAATGACGGCTTCTCAACCCTGGTGTAGATGCTTCCTTGACACCTCTTTCAAACCATCCATCTTCTCTGTCTAAAATGTGCACCTGGTGGTCCTCAAACGAGTGTCCTCTGTCCTTCTTAGTGACACTAAGACAGATGCTGGTACACCCCAAAGACCGCACACCCAAACACAAGAAAAGCAATCTAGTGTATGCGGTCCAATGCAGTGAGGAATGCACAGACCTGTATATTGGGGAGACTAAACAACCACTACACAAACGCATGGCTCAACACAGAAGGGCCAACTCCTCAGGTCAAGACTCTGCAGTCTACTTACATCTGAAGGACAGAGGACGCTCGTTTGAGGACCACCAGGTGCACATTTTAGACAGAGAAGATGGATGGTTTGAAAGAGGTGTCAAGGAAGCATCTACACCAGGGTTGAGAAGCCGTCATTGAACAGGGGAGGGGGTCTACGCCACCACTTATCCCCCACTTACAATGCTGTCCTTTCATCACTTCCCAGGAAACTCAACAAACGTAACCTATTGGCCTCAGGTGAAGATACCAACGATGGTCGTTCAGTCTTGGCCACAGGTAGTCTCAACGACTGTAACGACCGTCGTCACAGCAACAAGGAACACTAACGAACCAGCGGTATCGATGACCCGGGATAACGACCCCACTGAGGTTAAATAGCTGAGTTTCCCTGCCAGTCAGTCAGAACTGAAGAAGTCCTTTGGATGAGGGATGAAACGTCTTCCAGTATCTTCAACCAAGTCCAGTTGCCCTTCATTTTAACCCTCGTTGGATACAACCATAAATATAAAATCAGTTTTGTATCTATGCTTAATATAGCCAAGTTTACCAGCATTTCACTGGTAACAGGTGGTGAAGGACCACCCTCAAATATAACTGAATACATCTGTTATGTATAGCCACATGTCAGCTAATTAAGAATAGTAAGCCACCAAACGGAAGCTTTTTTAATGTAGTTATACACGTGCCTTGACTTTCAGTCTTATTCTGCACACTGTTTTATTTTAGGGTGCAGTCTGGCCTACAGCTACTGTATGCACCTTTACTCTTTGAAATAAGAAGTATATTGTGTGTATGTGTATATATATATATATATATATATGAAAATAGTTTACAAAAATGTACATCAGTTTTCAAGTTTTCAGTCAGTTCAAGTTCACTGATCTCAATTACTTTGTTCAACCATTTTCAGCAGTTAATGGTCATACTGCAGACAACAACAAATGAATTCAACTTCAGGCTAATACTTTATTCTTTATAAACTACTTTTACAAAAAAGTTGAATATTACTTACCCTGACTGCAACCAGTTACAGTGTTTAAATGCTTGAAGTAGTAACTGTAGTAGTAAGCACTTCATTGAACCAAAATGGTCTATGTGAGAGTGCCATTTAACCCAAAGAGTGATTATGCAGTTTACAGTCGTGCTACATCAGTGGTTAAACAGGGGTGATGGAGAACGGTTACATGTATCTATGATGTCATGTGTATACCAACCACAGAGCAGACAGTATTAAAATGTAACTGCAGATCTACTGTCCTTGTACTTGTAGTTTACAGCAGTCCTCTGATATACAGCCTGCAGGTTTAATGCAGATCAGTGGCCAAAAACACAGTATTAAATACAGTGAAAATGATCTTCGGGGTTAATGTGTATTGTTTGTATTTCACTGGAGGGATATGGAGAGCTGCTTCCACTATGTGGCGGACTAAACCTGTGAAATAAATCAACAGAAAGTTGTGGTCGAAGGCTAAGAATAGGATCCTTGGTATTTTGTTTTAACTTTTAATGTAATAGCCCAATATCATACACATTAAAGTTGTTACTTGTCTTCAGACATGTAGTTTAAAATAGTTTACCCTTTAAATTTTGCTGCCTGTTTACAATGAAAAACATAGCGTTGCCTTTTCAGTTACACAATGCTTATTTTGTGACTAATTCCAAAGACTACTAATAGTATTTGCACTACTGAGCAAACTACTGTGTCAAAGTATTTTACTGGATATTTCAGACATGGATTGTTTGAATTAAAACATATTATTCATGACTTTGGGGTAACCATAAATAGTGGACTATGTGGTGAAATGTGCAAAGTAAAATCTTGTATGTAAACTTGACCAATTGGTCAACATGAATAAATATGCTGTCAAATACAGTCTGCTTGTGTGTTTGCTGACTTTGTGTAGACAAATAGACTTTACCTCTGAACCAGCTGACTTGTATCTACACATGGAAATTCATTTTAAAGGCTCTAAGCAGATCGACCAACACGTGTGTTTTCACTGATTAGATTTCTTCCCCGGACAGTGTACAGTACATGCTTGATATACTTGATTTTTTATCACACACTCTAGTAAGGACTACACTTTTTACTTTCAAATGAATGGTATTGTCTATATATTTTATACATATAGCCTACCCCAAATTGTTTTTATTTTAAAATTACATTAATTCACCAATCAATTATGATGTAACTGGGGTTTTAAAGGGATGATTTATGGATAAATAAATCAGTTTTAATATGAGGTATTTTTAATGGATTATTTGCACCACAGGGCTTTAAAATGGTAAAAAAAATCACCTAAAATTCAATTAAGAAAATGAAAATTCAGACATGACTTTTAAGCTCTCTGGTAAACTTTACATGGTTTTGACCCCTCAAAAGCCCTCCATGCAGACAATCCATTCCAAACTCCTTAATATGTATCAATCCACAAATTTGTCAATTGATGAACTCTATTTGGGGTTAACCCATGAATTTACTCCATGACTTTTAAGATTCAAATTAAGAGGCGCCTGTAATGTTATTTTGTACATTTGTACATCAATATATAACCCCTTCATATACAACCAAATTTCAATTTCGAGTGTAAAGCGGTCAGACGGCCCACATCTCACATTATAAACCGTGCTGCAGTGAGAGACGTGGTGATGACGTCAGCAAGTGGTGCAGGAAGAACTGGAGACGAGAGAGACGAGGAGGAGATCACCAGGACCGCAAAGGCGATGTAACGGTAAAGCAGATTAACACTGGTCTTAATTAAGACACTTTGACATGTCATGACAGTTAATACGGGATATCACATTGATTGTTTTAAAAAAAAAACAAGAAGGTCAGTAGCCCGTATGTACGTCAACAATGGACTGCAAACAGCTGCGTAGGATGGTATTTTAAAGGTAAATATTAGATCAAATAATAATAGCTAAGCTGTGACACTGTAATTAGCAGATTTCTTTATCTATTTAAGTTATCAATAACTGTAAAAGCCTATGTGTTGAAGAAACGCCGTTGTCCTTACTGACACGTAAACATCTCGGCTACCAGAATTTAAATAGCCTATAATGTTTGGTATCATCTGGAAAGGAGTGCCAGAAAACGATCAGAGATGGATTTCAATGTGCAGTTTTTTTTGTCTTTCTTCCTGTCAGATATGATGACAGACGGCTACCGCCAGTGTGTTGGTACACAGCGTGATCAGAAAGCATGGGGCTCAAACTCGGTGGCAAGGTAAGACAGGGTGCGGTACCCAGACCTCTTGCCATTCATCACCATCAGCAGCTTTAGTGCAAAGAGTATTGCATCCATGCAAGTATTATCAATGTCAATACAGATGGTGGAGGTCCTATGTATTCAGATCACTTAACTTAAGTAAAAGTATTAATACCACCCTGCATAAATACTAGTCCTGCATAGAAAGTATATCAAGAAGATGAACTTTAAGTATCAAAAGTAAAAGTATGCTGTCACTCAGTGGCTATTATACACAATATCATTCGATTACTCATAAATGAAGGTGTAAGCGGCATTTTACTGTTGTGTTTACTGTGGTAAAAGTGGAGCTAATTTTGAAATATTTCATACAAGATTCATTAATGATTAATCTGCTGATTTTTTTTTTTTAATTTGTAAAACATCAGAACATAATGAGAAATGCCTTCACAATCACCCAGAGTGACATTTGACATGTTTGCATGAAAAATTTGTTAAATGATTAATCAGTTATCAAAAACTGTTGCAGATAAAACTTTTGTTGGTCATCTAAATTGATTAATTTTATGTACTACTGAGTAGTTTCATTCTTAATGTATCATAGCTTAAAGAATCCTCATACATTTTGTATGCAAATGTTGGAAATTATAATATAAAGGGTGACAATTCAGCAAACCATTATGAGAGTGACTTGAGGCTGAGTCTCTGCATAGGCCTATGTTAATCATAACTTTGTTGTTTGGTGTCTGAATGTAGTTTCTTACTGGTTCCGACAGATTTTTTATGCATTCATTTACAAGCACTACAAAAAAGGATGTGGTCTAGAATGTGTGGGAAAGAATGATTCTTGATGTTACAGCAACAGTGATCAAAGTGTTGAAGTGTGTCACCCCTCAGAAAGCCTGTAGGGAAAGTCCTAAACATACACACTCACAGACATACATACACAACAGGATGTTGTGACACACGTACATGTACATATAACAGCTAAGTAAGGTACACACACAGACACACACAGACAGATTATGAGGGTTTGTTTTTAGGTATAAATGTCCTTTGCCAAGTTTGATGTTCAGTTGTAACATTGTTGTGATCTGTCATATTGCATTAGAATTATCCAAGTGGCATGTGGACCCTATCTGCATCTCATCCTTGTTTTTTGTTTGTGTAGTTTGACCCAAAGTTTCAAGTTTACGTCTATCGACTACCTAGAAAAACCTTCCACACAAAGTCTAAATAACTGATAATGCAGTAGGGTAAATAGTACATTCACTATCTGAACTGAACTGAAATGTAGAGGGGTAGAAGTATTAAGTGGCAAAAAATGGAAATACTCAAGTGAACTACAAGTACTTTAAATTTGTAAAATGAATGTGCATAACTACATTTCATCACTGTTTACATTGCAGGGACAACAGAGCCACAGGATGGTGATCTTGGCGGCCCTCTTCGTCCTCATGACACTCCTCATCCTGTATGGCTCCAACAATGTCATCGATGAAGTATATGCTCCCTTCCACGTGGCCACAAATCATGCGCTCAGGACCACAGATTTGAAGAAGTGGGCTGGAAGAGAGGGTTATGTGCCCGTTTATGGAAACAAGGTACTTTATAGGTTCTACACAAACTTCATTAAACTTTCATGATGAAGAAAACCGCATATGTTTGGATTGCTGGATGTCAATGTAACTCATGGAGTGATTTGTATACTAGTTTGCAGTTGATTTGATTAACTGTAAATATCAGGGGTCATGGCGAAGGGTGCAGAAGTGAAATGTTTTCTTTTGCTGCTGCACTCGGAAAAAGAGGAAGTGCGCTGAAAGTGTGAACTTACTTACAGTTGCTGGTCATATAATTAGAACCGATACAAAAAAAGGATTTTTAGAAATGTTGGCCAACTGAAAAGTATGAACATGAAAAGTATGAGCATGTACAGCACTCAGTACTTAGTTGGGGCTCCTTTTGCCTGAATTACTGCAGCAATGCGGCGTGGCATTCTAATTATATGACCAGCACCTGTACAGCCAGTACTCTAAATTTAACAGGCATGTGAACACTACAAAATATTCTCAGTAGTGTTGCCATGTCTGTTAACTCAGCTACTTAACTCAATTATTTAAACGCTGCATAACAAGTGGCACTGTGGTGCTTTGAGCTAAATTCTAAGCAGGGTCTTTGCCATCTTAGTTTAGTGTGTTAGCATGTTAACATTTGATAATTAGCACTAAGAGCAAAGTACACTGAACAAAATTATAAACGACATTTATAAACGCAATACTTTTGTTTTTGCCCCCATACATCAACTCAAAGATCTAAGACTTTCTCTATGTACACAAATTCTCTCAAATATTGTTCACAAACGTGTCAAAATCTATTTTGGTGAGCACTTCTCCTTTGCAGAGATAATCCATCCACCTCACAGGTATGGCACATCAAGATGCTTATCAGACAGCATGGGTATTGCACAGGTGTGCCTTAGGCTGGCCAGAATAAAAGGCCACTCAAAAATGCAGTTTCACTGTATTGGGGGGATCCGGAAACCAGTATCTGGTCTGACCAACATTTGCCTGCCGCAGTGCAACACATCTCCTTCGCATAGAGTTGATTAGGTTGTTGATTGTGGCCTGTGGAATGTTGGTCCACTCCTCTTCAATGGCTTTGCGTAGTTGCAGTCAGGTCGAGACCCTGATGAGGACAAAGCATGCAGATGAGCTTCCCTGAGACGGTTTCTGACAGTTTGTGCAGAGACCGTTGGTTATGCAAAGCGATTGTTGCAGCAGCTGTCCGGGTGGCTGGTCTCAGACGATCTTGGAGGTGAAGATGCTGGATGTGAAGGTCCTGGGCTTGTGTGGTTACATGTGGTCTGCGGTTGTGAGGCTGGTTGGATGTACTGTCAATTCTCTGAAACGCATTTGGAGACGGCTTATGTTAGAGAAATGAACATTCAATTCAGAGGCAACAGCTCTGGTGGACATTCCTGTAGTCAGCATGCCAATTGCACGCTCCCTCAAAACTTGCAGCATCTGTGGTATTGTGCTGTGTGATGGAACTGCACATTTTTGAGTGGCCTTTTATTGTGGCCAGCCAAAGGCACACCTGTGCAATACCCATGCTGTCTGATCAGCATCTTGATGATGGGAATGTTATTAGGCTTGCAGGTATTTAGCCATAAACCAAAGTATTGAACAAATTAAAATGTTGACCTGCCATGGGCACTGGATGTGTACCAATCATTTAAATCCAGCCAAAGAACCAACCATTTCAACCTCATGGTATTTTTTTAATACATTCACTTACAAAGTTTCATGTTGTCTTTTCTTTTCAGAATATGACCCTACGCTGTCATAACTGTGCACTGGTGACGAGCTCCAGCCACGTCCTGGGTACTGGAGCAGGAGCAGAGATTGACCGTACGGAGTGTGTGATTCGTATGAATGACGCCCCGACGATGGGGTACGAGACTGACGTGGGGAACCAGACCTCTCTGAGGGTCGTAGCCCACTCTAGTGTGTTCAGGGTGGTCCGGAGGCCTAATGAGTTCCTACAACGGCCAGACAGCAACCCTGTGATTATCTTCTGGGGACCCCCAAACAAGATTGGGAAGGAGGCCAAAGGAACCTTGTACAGATTGATCCAGAGAGTCAGCATGACCTACACCAACTTGTCTTGTTTCAGTATCACAGCCAGCAAGATGCGCAGATTTGACAATCTGTTTCACAGGGAGACGGGACGAGATAGGTGAGTTTTTTTAGGGAGTTACTGTAACGTCAGTCATATCTTATTGTGCATCAGCCCCAAATTGGGTAAATGTAACTTTCACAAACTATGTTTTACATTTTCGTTTTTTCTGCTCAGACAAAAATCTCACTCATGGTTGAGCACAGGCTGGTTCACCATGGTTATAGCCATCGAGATATGTGATAATATCAAAGTGTATGGGATGGTTCCACCCAACCACTGTGGGTAAGTATAATGATTGCACTAATCATCTTACGTAGACTCTTTGAGACACTATCAACTCCTTAGTTGTCACATTAAAAGTCACAGATAAACAAGCTCTTAAACTAATCATTAATAAATCATTCTTTTTTCTAGTAAAAAAACTGGATCCAAAAAGATGCCCTACCACTACTACAAGCCCAGGGGACCTGAAGAATGTTTAACATACATACAGAATGAGGGCGGCCGAAGAGGGAACCACCATCGCTTTATTACAGAGAAACACGTGTTTGCACGCTGGGCAAAGCAGTACAACATCACCTTCATTCATCCCACTTGGTGAAAAGTCTTTAGTGAAAACCACAAAGAGATCTCTGCACGCACAGGAGCCTGATTGAGTGCTATGGGCTTCTTTCTAACTTCCCCGAATGAGCCTTTGAAATAGCCACATGATGAATGACAGCTACTTTCAGGAAGCGCCACGAGGATGATAAAGCTTTTGGAAAAACCATTATTGGACCAAATGACTGGATGTCTGGGAATGTTTTCTGTCGCGCAAAGAGGAGAATCTCAGTTTTGAGAGGTTCCTGAAAACACTCGGCCATCTGACAAGAATTGTATTGACAATTATGTAAATAGAAAAGAAAATGAATTTAAAGATTAATTTTTACATGTTTATAATATTTTTGTTATTCTGTATTGGAAATGCACTTATGTTTCCCATGTCTGGGGTGGGGGGGTCATATCCGCCAGCATTCTTATTAGATATGACCAAGTGGCCTACAAAACCCTATATTCTGTCAGATTGCCATTATACAGAGATTATATTCTACAGTAAGTGCAGTCAGATTCAGCAGACCACAAATGCAGTCTAAATCAATCACATCAAGTTTATTGTCACATTCACAGTCATACACATTACAATGTCTAATGAAATGAAATCGTTGCATTAATCTGATCCTAAGTATTAGACCCAACTCTAGTTCTATAGACACTGGTCAAGAGCATGACTGAAGAATCAACTTAATATACCGGTACATGTTTTTGATGTCTACAATGTACATTTGAGCTCCACAATGCAATATGTGAGTAATGGGGCTGGGCAACATTTGAAATTTTATGAAAGCAGTGCCTGAACTGATACCAAAAGCATGCTTTTCCCAATATCTTGGCTTGAATAATATCACGATTTCCACATACACTTTCATTCAAAAAAATTTGCCAAAAGCATCAGTGTTTATCTTTTCGTCGGTAAAACTAAATAAGTGTCTAAAATTGGCAAAATGGTGATTTAAATTAAGAGGTGTCAGTTGTATACTTGAGTTTACAACAGACATCAGTGAGAGAACAGTCTGACCAAGGATTCAATGCCATCCTACTTAAATTGACTCTTGTAAAGCACTTTGTGACTTGGCGTACTTTCTGTACTTGGTGCTACAGATGCATTATAATCTGGATTTAAACAAAAGTAAGGTTTTGAGGCTCACAATCCAGCCCTGGGTAACCTATGTCATTGTCCTAGATCACTAGGAGGATGGAGCATCTAGGTACCTTCAATTTAAGGAATTTCATCTGTGTTGATTCAACAGCGTCAAATAATTACAACCCTGTTGGTGTGTCAGTAATTCTCATTTGCAATTACTGGACACATTCAGATTACACAAGTTTTGTGGCACCAAATGTATCCTAGAGATCCACATTTGCACATTACACAGAAGTTCTTTAAAGTCTGTTCATCCCAAACAAGTGATTTACCCTCAATTTGATATTACTACTGCATTGTAAACTTTTTGCTGCACTAGATGTTGATTTTAATGTTAGAGACTATGAACGTACAAACTGCCTCATGAACTTAAACTTTTTTTAGTTTTTTTTTTTTTTAACCTCAGTGGCATTCCAGCGCATGCATCTTAAGTTCAAATAGTCAACAGAATGCATCATGGTAGTGTTATGATATGTATCAGTATGTTGCTCTCAGTGTGATTAAATTAAAAGTGAAATTGCAATTTTAAATTTAAAATGTGAAGCAGAGAAGGGTGTAATTTCATAAACTGTTTTGCCTTGTGGAAAAAAATTAACCTGTGGACATAATGTGTAAGAATATTGATCTTAAGGCCCTGCTGCTTCACTTCACACGCAAATGTGCTTCATTAGTCATGATCAGAAGTTTCTAAAAATTTGACCATTAAATTTATACCAATGAGGGTAGAATAAGTTTCAGTGACTACCTGTGAATACAACTCAACAGCACCACCAACTACAGGCTCCAAAATTACCAAAACGTTGACTCAGCACCTCTCTAAAACAGTTTCAACAGAAGCTGAACATAGTAACCTTCGTGAAGGTAGGATTTATTGCAGGACTGTTGCATCAGACTGCATTAGTTTCCGTTAGGTGTTCTAGCAATCTGGAAACTGAGTGCATACCACTCTTATCCATAATAACACACAGGTGCCTCACAAATAACCTAGAAGAATACTGCAAGCCTCATTTAAATCTGGCATTAAAATAAATCTGGGCCTGGCTTATATGATGGAAAATAAAATTTGAAAAGATGCATGCAGCATGCATGGTGACTGGAAAGTGATTGCACCCACAACACAAACTGAGAGCTGTAAAGGCTTGTAATCTACAAACTCTTCAAATGTTACTAGAAGCAGGTGGGCGACTTTCTCTTAATGCAGGAAAGTGTTTGATCTCCTCGCTCAGAAACTTGAAGCTGAGTGTAGAGTTCTTTGATGAAAATTTAATTCAGAAGTTCAGTGCCAAATGTTTTGTCCTTGTTGTTCTGGTACTTTTAATCAAAAAACTAATTACATGCTTTGAAAAATACAGTCAGTGAGTCAGTTCAAGCCCGTGGATAGTATTTGTATTTAAATATGTACAATTTGTTGAGCCATTCAAAAACAAAAGACATACAGACTTAACATTTTACAGGTATCTAACAACTCAATGCATTGATGTGTGTAATGTGATGTTTGAGGTTTTAGCTGTTTTAACAGTAAGTAACGCTAAAAGGTTGATTATGGAATTTGGAAGATGACAAAATGTCTGCCAGCATGTCTCTGTTTACTTTCCTCCATCACTAACTCTTTAATAAACCATTGGAAATGTCTGAAAAGGCAGCTGTGATCTTCGGTCTCAGCCCTGCCATGGAAACTAAGATGGCCTCCTGTTGAAAAGAAAAAAGAAAAAAGTAAAATTACTCCCCCGCATTGGTGAGCCGAACAGAAAGTAATTTCCTTATGAACAAAGAATGTACATTTATCTAGTCAAGCAATGTTTTGTGGTTTGAAAAATATGTCATCTAATATGCCCTCACCTCTGTGCGAATTGTCCTGCTGCCCTGACCCGGGCATGTGTTGAGGTAAAGGTCAAATAAAACACGGGGGTCAGTCACGTCCAGGTTTTGGTCGGTATCTACACTGGCCTCCAATCCCTGAAGACCTCCAAAAACTACCAAAAGATGCCTAAAAAAGAGAAGGAGAGTTTAAATTAATAAAACAAAATGTGAAAATACCATTCATTTTATAAGAGTAAGATTCTATAGCCATGCTAGCAGCTCTGTGAGGCTGTATTTAGGCACAGCAGTGCTTTGAGCTAGATGCTAACCTTTATTTAAACTGGGAGGGCCATTGAGAGAAAGATCTCTTTTACAAGATGCCCTGATTAAGAACATTTTAAATAAAAGCATAGGAAAGTTACAGACAACAAATGATGCAACAAACAGGCCAAGGACATAAAGAGACAACACCGATTCAACATTCACACTGCTCTGTCAGTCAAAAGAGACTTAAATTGATTAAAAGGAATAAGCTTGTCTAATTTTACAACCTTATGCAGATTGCTCCACTTGAAAGAGTCAGTTTCCAAATTTCAGTACTCAGGTTTAAATGCAGTCATGTTCAGCTAAACACCTTAGTTTAGAAATTGGTCGATAATTATTTAGCTCATTGGATTGACCTCTTTTGCAAAGGTAGGACGTAGGGTGTCTTACAAAGCTCAGGAATGCCTTCTGTTACCACAGTCAGATTAAAAATATAAGTTAAGCATTCGACTACAAATGGAGCTGCTAATATAACATATAAGTATAATATATAATATATACTAAGCGCTCTTTTTTTGGATCAATATAAGCAAGAGCATTAAGCACTTAAATTCTTTCTCCAAATTTGGGTCACAGTCTCCAGAGCTGCAAGTGGTGTCACTGAACAGTGAATTGTGATCAGGTTATTCAAATCAACGCTCCTGTGACTAGCCCAGTGATAGTTAAGCCGGCTATCACTCATTACTAATGGAGTATAAAAACCAAGGGGACAGTCATTAAAATGGATCAGACTCACAGAGTGTCAGTTGCTAAAATGTTGAATAGACAAGCCACATGTGACAGGAGCCATTATTGAATAGATCGGGGCACTTCAGGAAAGCAGCAAAAATGTCAACAAACACCTTAAGAATCACAGTATCGCTTGACTTACAATGACTATACCAACATGCCTGATGTTTAGCAGGTATAATGTTTAACCATGTCCACCATTTCAGTTTAGTGTTTTAGCAAGGTAACATTTGCTAATTAGCAGTCAAGGCAAAGTACAGCTAAGGCTGATGGTAATGTAATTAGTTTAGCAGGTATTTGGCACATACATTCAATCTCATTTCAATTCTGGTAGTTGATGAGCCATTTTATTAAAACCACAAATGTCAACATCATGGTGGAACCAGAGGAAAAGTCAGGGAAAACCTAAGTTAACAGGATTAATCATCTGGGGACCATGAATGTCTGAACAAAATGTCATGGCAATCTCCAATAGAAATATTTCAGTTTGGACCAAAGTGGAACGACCGACAGACCAACACCGCCATGCCGCTAGCATAGCTAAAAAAAAAAGTCTCCGACTTCCCCTAACATCTTATTGGTTCTGAACCTACTTGAATGGTGACAGTGTCGTTTGGTCCATGTTGCTGCCCCTCTCTGATGTGCCAATAGTCAGATCGTATCCTTCTTTATATGGACTTTCTGTGAAAACTGCACCTGTATTAAAAAAACAACAGCAAGTGAGGATAAAGCAGTCATAGCAGGGCCAAGGCTGTTCTTACAAATACATTTTGAGCATATGTTTGAGTAATAGGAGTGTATTGTGAGCATTGGGAACGTACTGAGGCAAGATGCCAGGCGGACACTGTAACCCCAGTAGAGACCTCCTTCTGTCCTGGGCATGTGAGGAGCCACCACCACACCTTTACATACTTTGCTCTCTGAGGATGATGGACACACGCACACACACGGAACTGATGTACAAATATTTTTCTCAGAAGAAAAATTTTAAATAAATAATAAACACACACACACACACACACACACACTTGATTCTGTCTCTGATTGAGCTGTACTGTGACTCGAAGTCCAGATTGCAGCTGTTTATCAATGCGAACATCCTGCGGGAGTGCGTGGACATAATTCAGTCTATTAGAGCTGAAATGAATCATCGTGCAACAGTATAATTATCAGAAACAATTTTGGTAATTCATTAAATGTTTGGGTAATTTTTTAAGCAAAAAAACACAATATAAAGAATATATTTGGGTTTGGACTGTTGGTTGGACAAAACAACACACATTTTAATGGGCATGTTTCACTATTTGACATTTTATAATCGATTCATCTAGAGAATACCTGGAAGATTAATCAGGATGAAAATAATTGTTAGATGCAGACCTACAGTTCGTATTGCCTTGTTAATGCCAACAATATCTATGATCATAGTGTTCACATCAGATGGTGACAGTAACACTTACTGGGACATGCTCACCTTTCTCATTCCACAGTTGACTAATGAGCCTTTTCCTTGTTTAGTCGGCCGGTCGAGGACTATTCCTTCCCGGTATTCTGATTCATCGTCTATCCTCATGTGGTGAGGACTGTCTAAAGGGTTAAGCAAACCTGGTAGAAAAAAAACCCCACCAATAACTTGTGAAAATGTATCTTCTTTTGCTTTCATTTAAGGGTTTGTTTATACCTGGTATTATAATGTAATCTATACATAGATATCAGGTATCTAGTGTGCCATCAGGTCAGCCGCCAAAGCTCCTGGCAACTCTCATTTTCCACCTTATTCTGATGTTGCTTTCCTTCATTCACGAGGCAGGGCTTTAAATGTTTCTGTCGATGTCGACGTCTCATTTTTGCCCTTTCTTGTTTCAACTCAATGCAACAACAACATTTCCTAATCAAACTTACTGGACATGTAGTCTTTGTTATGTTGGAAACAAATACACTATAAACACTTATTGTTAATGGTCATTTCCATGGAGAAATCAAGAGTTTTGCATAATTATAAGGGGGGCTAATAATTTTGGCCTAAATTGTACAGCTCAACAAGAAAATTAAAGGTACTTTGAAACTGTTTAGTGCCCGATAAACATATTTTTTAGATTCAGTGTACACTTTCTGTGGATATCATTATATGTCATCGATAATACACTCCCATACAATTGCTTAGAAATTATAGAAAAAATAATTAAGAGCTAATTTGCCAATTTGGGAGGAGGAGGAAATGAAATTTGATTATTACCTGCATACTGTAAATCTTGGTGCTTTGGGAAAAACCACTTGCGCAGATACCTAGTGGAGAAGATAAACTGTAATCACAATCTGATAAAACGGGATTGATACTGGTGATCAGAATACATTTACTACTTACTGTGGACATTCCAGGTACTGAAGTATTCTGGCAAGCTGAATACAAGCATGCCCTTTCTTCCCAACACCTTTAAATTCTCCTTCAACGCTCCTGTGAGACAAAAAAAAAAGATGCAAATCTTTTCTATAGGTTTCTGGTGGTTTAGGGAGTGTTTTACTAATTAATTGTACCTTCTCAGTTAACTTACTTCACATCTTCCCCTTGTTCGTCAAACACAACAATCTCATCAACACAGAACACGACACAGGCTCGGGCGATCTGTCCAGCCAGGTATGTACGAAGTTCAGTGGACTGAGCGTTATCCAGGACAGAACCTGGCAGGGCCACACTCACTGTGTAAGCCCGACCTAAGAGATATATATTGATCACGCATTACAGCACTCTATACACAGGTCTGTGGGCTAAAAGCAAACCATGACATGATAATAAAGGTTACCTTTTTTGTTTTGGCCTTGTTCAAGTTTCTCTCTCTCTGTGGCCTCTTGCCGCTTCTGCTTTTCCAACTGTTTGATCAGCTTGGCCTCTTTCTTTTGCTTATTAGCCTCCTTTACTGTTATTGAGGAAGAATCAATGACATTGATAAGAAAATGACATATACACACAGTAGGTAGACAGAGTGGAGATATCCAAATTGATGGTCGAAGGCAGGGGTCCTGAACCCTTTTGGCTCGTGACCCCTTAAAATGAGGCAATATCCAGTTTATCAGCAATTCAAACAAAGCATGATTTTTACTCCACAGTAAAATAAAAATAAACATGGTTTATGTAACATAAGTGTATTTTTTTCTGATTCCTTTAATCATCTACCAATCCCCTTCTTATTTTCCTGAAGCCCTGTCCTGTCCTCAATGGTGATTTTAAACTCCATTCGTGCCCTGTCTCATGTACTATGTTTCTTAAAGTCTCCGTCCCTACATTATATTAACTACAATGCATGATGTGTTCTACATTGTCCAGTGTTACACCACTGACATAGATCTGATTGACTGTGCTGCGCACCGCATGACTGACAGGATGGCTGCACTTCTCCACCATCAGCCACTATCGTGCTCACAGTTTTGAACAAACAGGTTAAGGCCGTGACCAGCGAACATGAAACTAGAATTAGACTCTGTATTGACTGCTGCTTATTTGTTTTGCATTATTGGCTTTTTGATGCATCCTCCAATTAGTACAGCGCTACATGTTACATATTACATGATAATACTACTGTGTGCCGGCGGCCATCAGTGCGTAAAATAATAACAACACTTAAATATTATACCTACCATAAAGGGTGAAATTGCGTCTCTCCTTGAGCAGTAGTCTTTGGTGGCATTTTTCACGCTATTGAAACTCAAACTTTGTTGCAATATCGCAGACATCTGGGGCAAGTTGTGGACTGCTGTGTGTGTGGGCATGAGATGAGGCTCCACACTGCTGCCACACTGGTCGGTGTGGTCGCTGCCACTGGGGGCGCTAAGGATAGAGGTCGCTGCCACACTGACCACTGGTTGCAGTCGGTTATATCTACTGTATCATAATTCTACAGGAATAGCCTACATCTATCAATCTTTAGTCCTTGCCTATAACAAGGCCTGTGTTATCACCTGTGAATGAAAGTGTGTACATCTTTCTAGATCACAATACTTTGTAAAATATACTATATTATCGATAATGCCTCTTATTAATGCACTGTAGGCCTACAGTATATTGCAGCTTGTGTGGTTGAAGCTAATACATCCATCTAGATCCTAATACTTTGATAAATATAGCCTACAATATTATCGATTGTGTGTGGTTAACCTGCAGTAATAAATCTCAGTATAATAAAACCTACAGTAATAAAAAACCACAGAATTGGCTATAACCCATGCTGAAAGAAAAGGTGTAAAAACTATATACATGGTTTTATGTAATGTTAGATGTATCTAGAGATCCAATGGGGGTCCTGACCGCTAAGTTGCGAACCACTGGTCTAAGAACAGAGACGCACTATCAGCTCAACAGAGTGTAAAAGCCCTTTGGGTCAAATTTTTGATTTGTGGCAATATAAATAAACTGGACTATTTTAAACCCTGTCCATTTAATAAATAAAATCCAGCTGTGATACTTGAGTGCTGGAGCTAAAGTGACAACTGTTAAATGTTTTGACACTGACTTAAGTTACAAATCACCATAAATTCTACATTAATGCGATGGCAAAACACATGCTGAAACACCGCATGAAATACATGAAAAACAAACATTCATTCCCGAACAAAGACATTTTAACACTTTACTTTTGCGTTGTAGCGATTAAAAGATGGCACTGTAACTTGTGTATCAAACCAAACTGTGACGTTAGGTGAAGGCTGTTCGCTAAATGTAGTTAACGTTAGCTAAGTTAGCTGTTTACTCACGTTCTGCTTTCCTTTTCTTCCAGTCCACCCTGTCCCCTGCCTGTAGAAATCCAGAAACAAATTACAGAGGAAGAGAAAGTTTAAAGTCATTTTTATTTAAAATAATAGTGTAACAGTACCTCAGAGGGCATAGTTTTGGGTCTTTTCACCGCAACGCCAGCAGACATTTTCACACACACCAACACGTGAAGTTATTTATTTCCGGGTTACAATCCTTTCAAAATAAGGTAGTTTTCTTCTTCTAAGTTCTTATCGGCGGATCAGAACTTTAAAGGTGCATACCGCCACCTATTGTGTCGAGTTCGTAAATTCATGGCATTAGGTCTTCTGGATGGTAATTGGTCTATAGAGGACAAGGAGGACAAGTAAAACAAGTAAACAAACAATGGAAGACCCTTTTTCCCAACCCTGCCTGTATAATGACAGGCAGGGTTGGCAGGTGTTGGCAGGACACACCACCGCTCACTGAACACATCTCTTCCTCACTGCCACTAATAACTGTCTCCACCTGCTGGCATGTAAAGCCGTCTGCTCCCAGCGCTGTTCCAAAGACTTCTATTCCTGTCATCATCATGCATAGACCAGTAAACCGAAATGTGCACATCCCACACAGAAATATTAGTAATCTCTTAAGGATTAGGACAACTGCACCAACTCCAGCACCTAAAACAAACTCATTTAAAATGGCTCTCTTCAATGTGAGATCACTTTCAAGTAAGACTTTTATCTTAAATGATTTTATCTTGTCTGCAAATCTAGATTTTATGTTTTTAACTGAATCATGGTTGCAAATGAATGACTATAGCCAGCTAGCTGAACTGTGTCCGCCTCAATATGATTGTTTTAGTCAACCGAGGGTCAGTGGTCATGGTGGTGGGCTAGTGAGCGTGTATAGGAAAAATTTTAAATGTCATCAAGTACGCTGTGATGAATTTAACTCCTTTGAAGTTCTCACTCTTAAACTTGGAGGGCTGCAACCTATCATATTTGTTATAATTTATCACCCCCAAAACCGCCTGGAGGATTTTTATCAGAACTTCCTGAATTTTTATCTACTCTGGTTTTAAATTATGACAGAATTGTTCTTTGTGGCGATTTTAATATTCATGTTGATGACCCCACCAATGTTAATGCAACTGACTTTTTAAATATGGCCACTTCTTTTAACTTCAAACAACATGTCAAAGGGCAAACCATAACCGTGGTCATACACTGGACTTGGTTTTTACCCTGGGTGTCAGCATTTCCTCTGTGGAATTAGTGGACATGACCATATCTGACCACAGATGTATTGTTTTTAGCTGCGATTCGCCTGTTACTCATGCCGCCTCACCAAGCTCCGTGTGTTCTCGCATCTTTAATGAACAAAGTGTTTCAAAGTTTTGCGCATTCTTTCAGAGCCAAAGCCAACACCTGTCTGTTTCCAACACCAATAATCTGGTCGATCATTTCAATCATATCTGCTTGTCGTCACTAAATATTACTGCTTCTCTAAAGGTAAGGCCTACGTCTAAAGCTAGTAAGCAACCCTGGATAAATGCCTCAAAAGGGAATGCAGGAAAGCAGAGCGCAGATGGAAAAAATCCAGTCTCCAAGTCCATTACCTCAGTCTGAAGGATTCATTAATTAAATACAATAACTTGGTTAAGGATGCAAGAACACACTATTTTTCTGAACTCATTACTACACATAAACACAATCCCAGGTTTCTGTTTAAGACTGTGGATCAGCTGGTAAACCCAACCCTTCCCTGGGCCTCAGCTGGAAGTAATGATGACTGTGAATTGTTTTTATCTTATTTTACCAATAAGGTGGTGTCAATCAGAGCCTCTATTACCCCCGCAGCCTCTTACTCAGAGGTTCCTCACCAGCAACAAGAGAGTTTTAACCAGTTTTATCCCATCGACTTGTCTGAGCTTTTAAAAACAAATATCACAAATGAGAGTGTAGCCCACTATAATACCTACAAAGTTTCTACTGAAAGTAATAGATTCTGTTGGGCTCCATTTGATCTCTGTTTTTAACAGCTCCCTATCTACTGGTTGTGTCCCTGATTATTTTTAAACGGCTTGCGTGAACCCACTTTTAAAGAAACCTGGTTTAGATCCCTCCCTCCCACATAATTTTAGACCAATTTCAAAACTGCCTTTTATTGCAAAGATTCTAGAAAGAATTGTGTCCAAACAGCTGCTCACTGTACTGGAAAATAACAAAATATTTGAAAAGTCTCAGTCTGGTTTTAGGAAGTACCACAGCACTGAGACTGCCCTGCTTAAAGTCACCAATGACCTTTTAATGTCTGCTGATGAAGGCATGTGCTCAGTCCTGGTACTCCTGGACCTTAGCGCTGCTTTTGACACCATTGATCACAACATCATGTTAGACAGACTGAGGCACTGGGTGGGGATCTCTGGTACTGCCCTAGAATGGTTTTCATCCTACCTGTCAAATAGGAAGTTTTGCGTGTCTGTAAACAACTATGTCTCTTTGTTCTGTCCAGTTAAATATGGTGTGCCTCAGGGGTCGGTCTTAGGACCCATTTTGTTTTCCTTGTATCTGCTTCCCCTTGGACATATTATCTATAAACATGACATTTCTTTTCATATTTATGCTGATGACACACAAATATACTTGCCGTCAGATCCACAGACCCTGGAATGCTGAGTTCACTTAACAACTGCCTTTGTGAAGTTAAAAAATGGATGTCAAATAATTTCCTCCAACTCAGACAAAACAGAAATCCTGGTCATCGGGTCCCAGCAGATGGCATCTGCTCATCACATTAAGCCTGTGGCAAAGAACCTTGGTGTTTGGTTTGATAGTAATTTAAATTTCGAGCAGCACACCACAAAGCTTGTTCAATCATGTTTTTATCAACTTAGAAATATAGCAAAAATTCGATCTATGTTCTTTTAAGGACACCGAGACCATTTTACACGCCTTCATCTCATCACGCCTGGATTATTGCAACAGCCTTTTCACCTGTTTAACCCAAAAATCTATTGATCGACTCCAGACTGTCCAGAACTCAGCTGCCAGGCTTTTAACCAGAACAAAGAAATATGATCACATTACTCCTATTTTAGCTTCATTACACTGGCTCCCAGTATGTTTTAGAATTGACTTTAAAATTTAATTGATCACTTTTAAAGCTCTTCATGGCCTCTCGCCTTGTTATATTTCTGACCTTTTAGTCCCATACACACCAGCACGTACCTTGAGATCCTCGGGCAGAGGTCTGCTGTCTGTTCCAGAGTCTCGACTGAAAACTAAAGGGGACAGAGCGTTTGCTGTCAGGGCCCGAGGCTCTGGAACAGCCTGCCCGAGAAAATCAGGTCGGCTGAGTCAGTGAACTCTTTTAAGTCCCTTCTTAAAACATACTTTTATAGGAGAGCCTTTCCCGATCTTATTTGACTTTATTTTATCCCTTTTATTTTATTGTATTTTACTAATTTTATATTTATCTTAAATGTGTATTTTAGTCTTTTCAATGTTTTTCATGCTTTTATCTTGTATTGTTTTTGTATTATTGTCTCTTGGGTATTATTGTCTTTACACTTGTGAAAGCACTTTGTAACTTGTTTTTGAAAAGCGCTCTACAAATAAAGATTATTATTATTATTATTATATAACCTACTGAGCCCCTTGTTATTTCCCTGAAACCCCTGTCCTGTACTCAACAGTGATTTTAAACTCCATTCCTGCCCTGTCTGATATGTTTCTTAACATCTCCCTTTCTAAATTATATTTACTACAATGCATGATGTGTTCTACATCTTCCAGTGTTACACCACTGACATAGATCTGATTGACTTTCCCCCATTATATATAATGTGGAGTGGAAACCTGTACGCCTGAACCTTAATCTTGTAATGATAACCTCCTCTCTGAGGTTAAGTTATTCTCCTTTAAGTTGAACTGACCTGTGTATTATAATAATGTCTACCTTAAACATCTGTATATCCCACTTTCCCCAGCCATAAGCTACTTTTATCACTTACTTATCATACTTTAAGAGCTTTTGTTATGAACAGGGACCCAACAAAACTTCACTTCTGCACCCATCCTTTGTAATCTTTAAAGTATAATGTGAATTTCTGTCATTAGATCTACTCTATTTTAAATTTGTCTTAAATTGCTGTTAGGCTAGTGCTTTTCATACTGTATATGTGGACACCCAATGACAGTAATACACACATTCGTTTACATGGCACGAGCCAGACACTGTCACAACGCAGCTATAGGTGTGAAAAATGTGGATTCATTTAAAGATTTATTGAATGTTTTGTGAGTTTGATTCAGGACAAATATCTCTGCAGCAAAAATATGACATACAGCAGAAGTACAACATTTAGGTTAAAAAATACGCCTAAATATATCCTTTATAATCACGGAGAAATGCTTCTAATATCGAAAAATATTTCTTTCACAGTTTTCTGTTTAATATCATTGCACAGGAACACTCAAGGGTGTTTTCATAATTGCAGCTTAACAAACTGAAAGTGGACGTGTGCTTTCAAGTACCCCTGATGTGACGCACGCAGAAAATCTCAATATGGCTCGTTTTAACTGATGAGGCAACCAATGCCAGTTAAAGTAGCCTGGTGAAATCTGAATGGACGGATAATGCTTCTTATCGTGGGATACTTTATTGTCCATGACTCCACTTTCTCAAGATGTCTTCTGCTGCATCCAGGGTGGAGTCCTCCTGTTAGACAAAAGGGAGTCTCTGTTTGAGTGAAAAGGACTGACAGAGCAACAGAGTGAGAAGGGTGAAGGCTCGGATCTAATTCATTTCAATTAGGTTGACTTTACCTTGACAAAACAGAATCGGATGTATTTGTCAAACTCCTTGCTGTGCTCTGGACTGTAGAATGCAGAGACAGGGATTGTTGCCAAACCCTGCAGAAAAAAACCAAATTATATTGGAAAAACATGATATACTAAATACTATACACCAGAACACTAACAAAACAAACTATACCACATGTGTTGTTATTATTATGATTATTATTAATAATCATTATATTCACCTTCTCTTTGGTTAGCCATTTAACAAATTTGATGTCATTGGGTTCATCCTCAGTGCTCTGGTGTTTAAAGTCCACCTCTGTATAAAACAAAGAGCGCCAGGGTAAACATGAATCAGACTAGAAACAGAAAAAGATTGAAGTTTGTTCTTCACTCACTGACGGAGGAAATGTCTGCAATCATAAAATAGCCTCCCTCTGGCATGATGGGCTGTAAACCCACACTCTCCAAACACGAGGCCAGCTTCTTTCTCTTGTGGTGCAGCATCGCCGGCAGCTGCTGGAAGTAGCTCTCTGGAGTCCCGAACAGTTCGTATTCTCTCTCAAATCCCTCAGCTACTGCCTCCTGTTGACAGGAATAGATGTAAAGACGAAAATGGGACGTTTCAGAGGTGTGAGTGAAGTTGAAATGACAATTGTGACCCATGTAGTTTTTAAACAGAAATAAAACCATCAAAGATTTCTGCTCCTTTCCTTATGGTAGAAAAGTTATTGCTCAATTTGCTTGTAGATTGTAGTTTGAGGTAAGAACTCCAAAATCACTTAAATTCAACAGTAGAGATCTTTTAATTTTTATTAATCTATTAAACCCTCATTTTCCACATTCTTAGGTAGATTTAAAAGTGGAAAAATACATAGCTTCCTTCCTAACAATTTCAGTGAAATGGCCACACAGTCAAATAAAATGGAAAACTTTGGTGTTGAGGACAGAACGTAAAGTAAAATTCTTGGATCAGCGCCATAATTGGACAGCACTGCTAAATATTTCAAGAGGAGGAACCAAATTTCTTATAGTGTGTGTGGGTCCCTTTTCTAGGAGAAGCTAAAGAAGCCATGTTTTACTTCAAGAAAATTATTTGAAAAGTTCAAGGAGTGATGTTTACCTGAGCAGCTGTAGCACAGTGGTAAACACTGTTCTGATGAATGGTTTTCATGTGTTTAATGATATGCCCAGAGCTGATGGCCCAGCCAACCTGTGAAGAAGAGGCAGGTCAACATGTCAGCATGCAGAAAAAAAGAACACATTACTCGAATACTCAGAACATCTGTGGATACCTTCCAACCAGTAGCACTGAAGGTCTTTCCACCACTGCCAACAGTGATGGTTCGTTCCCACATCCCAGGAAGGCTGGCTGTCAATATATTAATATAAATAATATATTAATAACGCAGCATTATACTGTGTGTGCATTGTGTTGCGCCCTGACTGTATCTTACCTATCTTTACATGCTTGGCTCCATCATAAGTCAGCCACTCGTACACCTCATCGCTGATGCACAGCACATCATGTTTGATGCACAGATCAGCAATCATTTGGAGCTCTTCAGTCTTGTAAACCTGCAAAGGATATGGAAGTGTGACAGGTGTTTATGAGCAGGAATGCATTTTATTAAGTTAAGTTACTTAACAGTTTAAATAACTGAAAAGCAGACAAGCTGCATCAACAGGCTGGCTTAAAAAAAGGACACATACAGTGGTAAATATCTCACCTTGCCTAAAGGGTTGTTGGGAGTGTTGATAACAATGGCTTTTGTGCGTGGAGTGAATTTACTGGCCAGCTCCTCAGCAGAAAGAACCCAGTCTCCACTTGACAGGATGGCGCTGCCCTCGGCTTTCTTAAATTCAACAAAAGAAAATGATGGTTGATATATACTTTCAAGTACATGCACACAAAGAGAGAGGTAAAACTGCTGAAAGATGTGCAGCACTATTTTGTAAAAGATGATCAATAAGGTGTAAACCACTCACTGGCCTCAGAGGTACATACACTGCCTTTCCTCCAACCATCTGCACCATTGGCTGGTAGCAGTCAAAGAAGGGCTCAACAATTATGACCTGAAATTTGTCAGTACATTTTGTTATTAAGCAAAACATTTGGTAAATATGTGGTCCTTCTTACACACATTACTGTTGTACTGTTAAAAAATTAAACCTGTGGCTAATGGCATTCGTTTTACTCAGTTTTGTAAATATTTTTAACTAGAGCTGTGCACCATGTGGAAGAGTTTTATCATAGAGTCAAGCACACATATTTATGTAAAAAAAAAAAACTTCCCATAATTATCACTATAGAACATTTTGATTTGACCTGACTTGGGTTGATTTTCGTACCTCATCCCCTTCATCAACCAGAGCTTGAAATGCACAGAAGAGAGCCTGATAAGCTCCAACTGTGACCAGGACGTCTTCAAGAGGATCAATCTCACGTCCCACAATCCTACCAAAGAATTTAGCCAGATTTTTCACAAGACGGGGGTGCCCCTGAGGAAAGAAATTCCAGCAAAAGGTCAGTTTTGAATAACTGATAAAAATGACATGAACTAAAAATGTGTGTGCTTCTGTGCCATTCCAGAAACGTGCTCATTTACATACACTTACAAAAGCTCGGGTATACTGGTGCATCAGGGGCCCTCCACACACTGCTTTACAGAAAGCTTCCTGGACAAACTTGGGAGGGGAGAAGTCAGGAAATCCCTGTCCAAGGTTCACTGCTTTGTAGTCTGCTGCCAGTTGTGTGAATTCCACCCTGTCGATGCAAAATAGGTCAAACACTGCAGTGCTGTTACAAAAATGATAAGTTAGAAGTAAATTACCACAGGCATATGACCAGTAATTATGTCCTGTAAGAGTCATTTTATGGTCCCTGCCTTTTGAGCTACCAGTACCCCTGCAACCTTTTCATCAAAAACAATTAATGTATACAAAAGTGAGTAGGAAAATAAATTAAAATGCTAAATGCTTTAGAATGAATTCTTTTTGTAGAAAACATTGTTTGTGTTTCTTTTAGTCAATGAGTTAAAATTATGGGTCCTTTCCTGCAGATAATAAATAGACATATCTATCTTAACATGCAGATAGTTTTGGCTTAATTTCCCAGGTTTTTAGGTATCAATGTCTGATTTCTGCCATTGCCTCAGTGACTGTTTTTTATCATCAAATATTCATGATTTTTTGGCGAAAGTCGTTCAATTTCATACTAAAAAAGGACAGAATAATTTAAGACTTTGTTCAATTCAAGAGCCATTTTAGAGCCATTTACTACCAGATGTTTGATGTTTGGGAAGTGAAAGAAAGAAAAAATACCAGTTTAAAGAAATCAATGTGAAACTAAATGATACATTTCATTATGCACTTGTATAGCTAGTCTTTTCGACCACTCAAAGCATCTACATCACCAGTCATACACATTCATACACTGAGCCTAAGTGCTCAAACGTCATCTGATTACTTATGACATAAACCTAATGTTTTCTTGCACTGATGCTGCAATATAAATGTAGTATTTCGATCAAAGTATAAAAATGTATATTAAAAGGTCTTGGTCCCAGGCTGTGCTCCACCAATCAGATGGTTATACTAAAGGTTAAGACGCTAATAAAACGCGAACACGGTTAGGTTTAGACTCAATCCAAGCAGAGACCTGTATGAAAAACTTAAAGTAGCCTATCAAGGAACCAAAACTAAAAGAAAAAGCATTAAAGTTCAGTGTTCTTCTGGAAAACGAAACACTTCCCTTTATGAATGGCAATATTAAGTGATTCTGCAAGAAAGCCGTTTATTTTCTGGCTCATTTAATACAGTTGCATACAATTATAAATAAACTCTAGCCTATAAAAAAAACTATTTGATATCGTTGGTAGCAAAACCTGTGTCCTCTTCTAGCAACATTATCACTTACCAAACGTTTTTATCGACACCATCTGTTCTGCGTGCATGAAGTCTTCTTGACATGATTATCTGGAACAAAAGCAATTTCTTAAGGTAAACCATATGTCGTTATATAGAAGTGTCGTTAAGTTAAGTACAGTTGTACCCACCTTTTGATGGTTTCTAATTGAAGTCTGGCGAATTACAGTCAAATTTGTGACAAGATTTCTGATTATTCCCATCAATGGATGATCATGACGCACAGGCTTTTATCACCGTCAGTTATTCCTGCTGGAATGACGGTGCGCTAAAGGTGTCTCCAAATGTGTTGTTTCTCCTGATCTGCAAAACCTACGGCTATTTAATTTTCAAACAAGTGCTGGGGTCGTGCTCCCCTTCGAACACCTTCTGTTTTCATTTCTACTTCCTGCCTGGGCGGAGCGAGGAGTTGCTCGTAGTTACCTGAATGTAACTCCAGTTCTATGAGCAACAGCTGAGGGACAAATCCCTTCAAAAGGCTTTAGTTTTCAAGATACCCCTAATTACCTTAGGAAGAACAAAGCACAACCATGTTTCTTAATAACTTTAATATGTCTAGCTGTTCAAATCAAATCGATGATATAAAAATATTTAACTGGAAAATTAGTCTATTTCATTAATGTTATTTAATTATTTAATTAATTTTACGCTATAAAGCAAAATTGTATGAATACATTTGTTATGAAACACATCATTGAAATATACTTTAACATGCATGAATTATAGGAGGAAATTGAACAAGGAATTAAAAATCCAAAAGCTATATTTATATATGAATACAAAGCTATAGTCTGTTTCCCCTGCCAATACATCTACATTGAATTTAATCAATGGGTGTATGTCAGAGCAGAATGAAAAGCCAGAGGATTTGATCTATTAACCTTTGTCAAGTGATTCTCATATTTGTCCTAAAGTTCTATCCTTCAAAATCGTTTACATGTGGTTTGTGTTACTGACGGATAATTAAAGAAATAAAAGGAGAGGGTGACTGATATTTTGAACAAATAAGAAAAGCAGCTGACTAACAGAGATTGTATGACCATGAAGAAGGACCTATTTTAGCCCACTGGAAAAAAAAACTTATGTGCATAGTTTATATTTCTGTTGGACATTTTTCAAATCAGTTTGCAAAGTTTTGAAATTATCTCCAACCTTTCAGGCAGCAACTTAACTTCTACCAGTACAGACAAAAATGTAGACACCAAGTCTGTTGCTTTGTTTTATTTAACTTTGCTTGTGTAGAAAATTTATTAAATATGTTTATTTAAAACTAGACCACAAACTGGTCTAGTTTTTAATAAACAAAAATAAATGTTCATTACATTTTATTGACCGTAACATACATAATATTACTCCGTCACAGGAGGTACAATACCCACAGCAGCAGTAGCGACTTCATGTAAATAAATCATACTGCCATAAAAAGAGACCACTTTTTCTTTATTTAGACATTACCTATGTTTTCGTGTCATAAAACACCATAACACACTTCCTCTAAACTTTTTTCAAGTCCTCTGGCAGCACTCTGCCTTTCTTACGCGCCCTTTCCTTCTTCTTCTCTCCTTTGACCTGCTTGTGTTTCTGGATGTTCTTTCTTCTCTTGTCCTGACGTTGCTGCATCTTCTCTATGACGTTCTCGCTACGCTTGTTCCAGTTCTTCTTCAACTGCACGTGCCGCTTCTCCTTCTTCTTCAACGAGGTGCGCAGCAGTGCCTCATCATCTTTGATTTTGAGGCCCTCTGCCTTATAAAGCATGTTGGTCCACTTCATCTTCGTCTCCAAATCGCGGGCCTTCCCTTCGTCTTTCTCCCTCAGCTGTTCCAGCTTCGCTTTGCGAGCCTCCACACGACTGAGCAGCTGCTTGTAGTTCTTTCCTGTCAGTGGTGTTATCTGGCCCTTAATGCTTTTTTTCTTGTTCTTCTTTTTCTGAATTTTGTCTACGTATCCCTCTTCCACCGTCTCCACTTTGTTGAAGATGATGGCAGCTTCATTTCTTTTGCTTACAGCCGGAGCATCCTTTTCTTCCTGTTTTATCTCTGGCTGCTCTTCTTGGCCACTTTTTTCAGCCAGTTCCTTCATCCGAAACTCTTTCCTCTTCCTCTTCTTGCGCTCCCGTTCCAGCTTTCGTTTTGCTCGCTTTGCCTGGACAGCCTCTGACAATGCATCCTTTGGGGTTACCTGAAAAAAGAAAAGCATAACATGTTAGTCCAGCAGACACTTGATGATATTGTGATCTCCCAGTCTGCATTCTAATTAGCACCAGAAAACCAGTGTAGGGACTCTGTTTGTATTAGTATGTGTTAGAAGTAAACACTTTCAACAAAGCCAATACTGAGGTCATTTAGCTGGTTCAGTATCATTCATATAATTTGGGACAAGCAGTGCCAAACTAAAAGATATTTCATTTACAAAAATAAAAACAGCAAAAAGCAGCAAATCAACTGATCTCAAAAGCTGGAAATGGAGACTATTTGGTGTTCATGCCCCAAATAATCTATCGATTAATTTCTTAATTTTTTTTGTAGCTCAACTACTCTTCCCTAATTCCGGCGGTCGAATCTAACAAAGTACATTTATTCAAGTACTGTGCTTAAGTACAATTCTGACATAATGTTTGACAGATGAGTGTAACATGTTGGTCCAACAGACACTTACCAAGTATTTAACTAGTGTGCAGTGTGTGTTAAACATAAACTATGGAAGAAACAAACACAGGAACGCATACTTTGTACTGAACTCTGGCACATAACTCGCTCCACTGGGTTTAGTGTCTGGGATATGAGGTGTATCAAATATCTTCTTTACCAACCAAGTTAAGCTCAAAATAATGCAGCCATCAAGACACCAAACCTTTGTATCTGTGGCCTGTACTGGCACAGGAACAGTAAGACTTTTAGAGCAAGCAGCTAGATTAATTATAGCCTGGTCACAGCTAAGAACTGACAATTTGATTAATCACCATAAAACAATTTATTTACTGTATTTGACTCCCAGTCTGCACATGTTTTAATTAGCATCAGAAACAGAGCATATAGACTTTGTACAAGTATGTGGTAGAAGTAAACATTTTCAGCAAAGTCAATACTGACTTGTTTTGCTGGTTCAGTATAATTCTGATAGTGTTGGGATCCATTGTCACTAACAGACACCATAAATAATCCTCCATGTGGTTTTCTTTCATTATCTGCTCTAATTACTGCATACCTGCCCTCTGGACTCCTCAATCTTTTCATGTAGTCTCTTGCGTAGTACATCAACTGTGGAGAAGTTGGACTCAACATTTGCTCCTTTAAGAGAGGAAAAATCAAATCAAATGTAACTATAGGAAACAATGTTTTTTGTAACAGGAAAAGACCTAATGATCTAAAAGAAATGTGTCACTACAGTGAGAAAACATGAAAATTAAATCATCTCTCAGACATGTTGATAAGAGAGAATACACTTACTGTACCTTTAGGTGGCCGTGTTGTAGATCCTTTGATGCTCTGGGTTTTGGATCCATTTATTGTTGCCGTGGCTGGGCCTTTCTGTGCTGCAGCAGAGGGTGGAGGCTTTTGTTGGGATTTAGGAGTAGGGGTGTTCTCATTGGTGCCCTTTTCTTTAAAATGCTTCTTTTTGCATTTTTTCTTCTTCTTTGGAGGGCCAGCGTCACCTTTAGCCTTGAAATAAGCTACACACAGACAAACACAACACATGTGATGTTAATGATCACACACAGATGGGTACCAATTAAAAGGAAAAACCAACATTAAGTGTCTTAGTATGGAGTCAGGTCACCACGTGCTCCTTGCCAAGTCTGTGGAACTGTATTGGAGTGATGAACACCATTCCTCCACAAGATATTCCCTCATTTATGTATGAAACCTTTATTTAATAAGGTAATCTCATTGAGATCAAGACAGACGTGAGGACAGCAGATAAATATCTCGTATCAGAGGCAGTCACAGACTCAATAAATAGATTTGAAAATGAAAGTTCTTGTTATATTATGTGTTCTTATAGAGATGGTGGGGGGAAGCAGTGTCTTACATGTTGGTCCAAAATCTTCTATAGGTGTGAAACTGGGTTGAGATCTGGTGTATGTAAAGGCCATTATCATGTTGTTCACATCATTTTCATACTGAAAATTCAGTATTCAGGTTTTACCTTATGAACATAAACAGCTTTGACAATGCCATCGAATTTAAAGAAAAAACAAGTCAGTGCAGATCTGCTGATTGTCTAACACCAAAAGCACATGGTCATCTTATTTCCTCATTTTCTAAGAGACAAAAGCCAAGTATAGCTGATCTTGTGGGTGACACTTGCCCTCACAAAGTGACGAAGTTAGTAATTTGGAGGTGTCTGAGTCAATCTGTTAAAAACGGTCAAACTGGTGACATTTTCCCCCCTTTATGATTATCAATTAATCTATTGATTTATTTTAAATCAATCAAGTAATTCCCCACCTTTTTCTCCTGTGGCCACTAAATGAGGCAAAATCTCCTTGCAACCCCTCATCACAAGCTACATTTCTATAAATTGTAAGATGTTCAATCTTTAAGTGATTTCCCCCTCTCAGATTGTATAATTTGAATGTTTTTGAGGCCTGAAAGGGCACACACCAGAGCATTTAAGAAAACAGAAAAAGATGAAGAAAAGGCCAACATATAATAATTTTGTTCATGAAGTTTTTGATGGTGCATCCTTTGGTGCTCCCTGATAACAGATGAGTGTAACATGTTAGTCCAACAGACACTTGCAGCAGATTTCGCATTTGATCAGTCTGTACCTGTTTCTAATTAGCACCAGAAACACAGTGTAGGGACACTGTTTGTACAAGTATGTGGTAAAAGTAAACATTTTCAACAAAGTCAATACCGACTTGTTTTGCTGGTTCAGTGTAAAAAGATATTTCATTTACAAAAATAAACATCAAAAAGCCGCAAATCATCTGATCTCAAAAGGGGGAAATGGAGACTATTTGGTGTTCTTGCTTAATAAATGCCCAATACGATTTAACGACCTGAGTACTTGTTCCACCACTGCCTAACTTAATTCTTATATTTGTCTTGAATCCATCCCTTCAGGTAAACCAGCTTTTTAAACAGTGCAGCGCCTCCTTTGGTCATCTGCAGTAAAACCCAGCGGTTTAATAGCATATTCAGTGTTAGAAGCTTTTCTCACACTAACACATAAACTATAAAAGTACACAAATGATTTTAAATTCCAGCACAGAAAAAGGGGAAGCCGTTGTCCACAATGCGGTGTCAATTAGCTAAAACAGTAAGCTAAATTTTACGTACCAAACGGTCTCTTCTTTGGCTCCTGGTCTCGTTGCAGGACTTTACTTGTGAGCTTTTGAATGTACGCGTCCTTTGAGGCGAGATCCATGTCGACAAATTAACCTTTAACCCAGCTAAAATAGCCTCATAAAAACAGGAACTTAGTGATAGAAAAATATCAACACATTTCTGTACACACGTGGGTAAGACATGACGGGGCGGAGCGTCACGAACCCGGAAAGAGTAACATCATAAGCAGCCCCCCTTCTGATAACTTATGTAGCTGTTATGTAGTCAGTTGTTTTCTCATCCATTTCTTACCTCCTTATCGTTGATGTTTTAATACAGAATGGCTTCTCTCAAATCAGCGTTGGCTTATTCCACCAGGGTGCTTACGGTACTAAAGAAACAGGTTAGTTACATGGTGTATTTTTTCAAATCTGCGTAAAATCCCACAGAAACTTGAGTTTTGTGAATGTCATTTATCAGTGATGGCAGATTTTCAGCTGATTTTCTGTTATTGCAGACGCATGTCATTTACATCAAGAGGACTCTCCTCGTGTCTAGACTGCCTCTCTTCAAACGTGCAGATGGTAAGAAAAAATATATATTTATATGTTTACTATAATCAACATAATCATCAATGTGAACTCCAGCTTCAACTTTGTACTTTATTTTTAGAATTAAGAAACATATTAAAAAAGTAGACCATTTTGTTAACAGAAGATTCAATAGTTCCTTTAAGGAAGCATACATTAAGTTTGTTATCAATTTTGGGTCATGTTTGTATTTTCGCAAAAATATAACAAACTTTACATGGTATTTTTATTAGATTTGTTAACATTGTTGACAGGGCTGGGCAATCAAACAATAACAATAATTATTGCGATATAATTTTCTTTTCTAGTAGTTGAAAAAAGATTGAATCATTATCGTTTTGAATGTTCTACCTCAGATTTGTGAAGTGTTTACTGGCTAAAAAAGTCTAAAAAACAATTAACCGTCTGGTTTCTTCAACTTTCACTCAGGAGGTCATTTATCGTGATAATTATCAATATCAAATGATAATAGTTTTGGCCATATCGCCCAGCCCTAATTGTCAAGAACATAAAAAACAAAAAAAAATTAAACTAATGTCTTAGTGTGTAGACTGAGCCTTACAAACTGAACAGTTCAATTCAATATCAGGGTTAAACTTTGTCATGTAATTATTCTTGTGAATAATCTTACATTGCACTTCTCGTCATATTCATGAGCAAAAACTGTATGTGGTTACAGTCATATATTCTATGTGAATGTGTGTGAATTTCCAGGCTGGTTCATTCCCTTCAGGCGACAATCCAGCTCCACTGCAACCGGAGTAGAGAAAGGAGACGACTCTTTCCTCAAATGGTTCCTGCTGCTCATCCCTGCCACCACCTTTGGCCTTGGTACCTGGCAGGTACAGCTTTAATTTACTTATCACATTAAAACATAATGCTGCTGATGTGTCTTTGTTGTTGGATGGAATCTAACCCTTTTATTCCTGTGAAGGTGAAACGACGTCAGTGGAAAATGCAGCTGATTAGTGAGCTGCAAAGACTCACTACTGCGGAACCCATTCCTCTTCCTCGCGAGTAAGTACATGATAGATGTACTTACTTTTATTCTCCTACACACACTTAGCACTGAACAGCAGGTCACAAAGACAGGTCATACACTAAATGCAGCTATATGCCTTCGTGCTTTATGAAGCTGATGGTGCATTTTAGAAATAGAAATATGCAAGTTTTATTTTAAAGAAATCTAGTGGCAGTGACACGCCAATTCAGTAAAACTGATTGATTTGTTCACTTTTCTTTTCTGCGTAATTCATGTGTTTTGCCTGTAAACCTTCAAACCTAAATACCTTCAGAAAACAAGAACAAAAATGAGACATGTGTTGGCAGTACCAGCCACCTACAAGAGCATATAATCAAGGATCTTTTATTAACGTTGGAATGAGCAACGGGTTTTGCTTGGGCCCTCCGTCAGGACAAATTAAATGAAAATGTCCAATATGCCAAGTGCTAAAGAGAGAGAGAGTTAATTTCTTTATTAAGATTAGCACCTATGTGTGTGTAAAAACAAGTTATACTTGTGGAAATATTAATAGACACAAGAGAAATACACTTACAAAATAAAAAAAGTTGAAGATAACCTTTTTCTCTTTTTACTCATTGCAAGTGGCAACAAAATTGAAGAATTTCTTCTGTTTCTGTTTCAGTTACTGGTTGGGTTTCAACCTATATATTTCATTGGTTATCATTTGCACCTGTTTGGTATAGTTGTGTAATCATATACATGATATGCCTACAAAATTCCTGACTTTGTGCAAGTGTACCTAGAAGAATGAATGCTGTTTGGTGGTCACACCAAATATTGATTTGATTTAGATTGTTCTTCTGTTCATTCACTTTGCATTTTGTTAATTGATAAATATATTCTATTAACATTTTTGAAAGTATTCTTACCTTACAGCATTTTCCCACAACTGCCTAAAACATTGCATCCTTGCCCCCCTCCCCTAAAATCTATGTCTATGTTACCTATCAATGTGCATGTCATTTTTCTCCCTGGATCCTAGTCCTCATGAGCTGAATAGCCTAGAGTACAGAAGGGTGAGAGTGCGTGGACAGTACGACCACTCACAGGAGCTGTATATTCTGCCCCGCTCCCCAGTCGACCCAGAGAAAGAGGCCAGAGAGGCAGGCAGGCTGGCTTCAAGCGGAGAGACCGGTGCAAATGTCATCACTCCATTTCACTGCACTGACCTCGGGTGAGACAACAGATACAATGCTGTGGCACTGGGTTAACTCTGTAGTGTAATACTAAGTTCTTGGTCATCTTACAACTAACATCTTCTCTGCCTTCATCTGCAGCATCACAATCCTGGTGAACAGAGGATATGTTCCAAGGCAGAAGATACGACCAGAGACCAGGACGAAGGGACAGGTTAGTATCTCAGATGATGTAACACATCAGTATGTTCTTTTAAGAGGACTCCACTGCTTTAGCATTACACTCTTATAGCATTGTCAGAGTCACATTGGACAGTAAAAAAATTACCCACAATGCAACACGATTTACAAGACTTCAGGTGTGGTAACCTTACCATGTAATGTCTCAGCTACAACAAACCTCACAAAACCATTTATATGAAGGGAAACATCAGTACCTTAAGCTCCTTCAGTCATGCCTACATTATTTCTTTGTAACTTATTCAGACGGATTTTACAAAATGTAGCGCTTCTGTGCAGGTGGAAGGTGAGGTGGAGGTGGTTGGGGTCGTTAGGCTGACAGAGACTCGCAAACCCTTTGTACCAAACAATGATGTGGAGAGAAACCGCTGGCATTACAGAGACCTGGAGGCCATGTCCAGTGTCACTGGAGCTGAGCCCATCTTCATTGATGCCGACTTTGGTAAGAGGATCTCTGACTCAACTGCATCATATTGAATATCACATTAAATACACGACTGATTCATACACTTAATAATTATTCTACAGGTGAGCATAAAGAAAAGGTTATGATGCACAAGTAAATTAAAGTGTATTGTATCACGCAGGCAGCACCATTCCTGGTGGACCAATAGGTGGACAGACTAGAGTCACGTTGAGGAATGAACACATGCAGTACATAGTGACATGGTAAGTAGGAACTTTCTGGATGAACTACACTTCTGAGACAGACTGTCTAAAGCTGCCAAAACTTGTGTGTATATATATATTTATTTATTTCACAACTTTTTTTTTTTTTTTCCAATCTTTTAGGTATGGTTTGTGTGCAGCTACCTCCTACATGTGGTTTGCCAAGTTTGTCAAGAAGATTTAAGTGTGATCTGGTTACATGCAATGAAATAATTATACAAATGAACTGAAATGTCGCAAACTTCTCATTTACTGGATGTACTTTATTAGCTCCAGCCTATATGTAAATAGCTGTGGATTATTCTCCTGAAATGTAATTAATAAAAAATAGAATTTGGCTCGTTCTTTTCTTTTACATGTTCCCATCAGTTTATGGAACACCAGTAAGCAACAAGAAAAAAATATTCTCATACGTAATCGTCCTGTAGAAGTGTGCATTGCAATGATCACTTATAAATGTGAGTTGGTCTACAGTGAACAAGACATTGAACTGGGAAACTGTTTCACAGCTGGAGACCTACATTCAGTAAAACTCATGGATTCTCAGTTCACTGAATAGACCAACTCTAGTCATCCACAGCATTGATTCAAGTCAATGGTTTCTACACTTTAATTTCTAAAGTTAACAATCTCAATAGTTTGTTACATTTCCTTTCAAATGTTTAAATCTATTAAGTGCTGCTGCCTTTGCCATGAGTTGCTTTGTAAAATTAAACACCACACACTCCTGTATCCCAACTCAACCATTTCTAATTTAGATAACCCATCAGTAGATCAACTGTCACTGTAGTCTTATCGCTTGTACCCTACAGAACATGCATCAGAGTACTGCAATGTAATTTTCATCACTTGCAGTTAAACGCCATTTTGATTTCTGACAGTGTTAAATCTACAGTTGCAACTTTGTTCCAAAACACTACATTTGGTTGTAACAATAACAGTCTCACTCTATTAGGACATAAATTTATTTTATTCCAAACAATTTAACCAAGCTTGGTTGCCAGTTCCTTGGCCTTTGCCTTCTCCAGCTTGGAGATGCGGGCTGTGGATTTTGGGCCCATGATGCCGCCTCCCCAGTGACGACGGATCTGGAAAACAAGGTTTAATTGGAAATGGTTAAATTGGTGCAACTTGTTCTTTGATATGAATATGCAATTTACTCATGCAGAGACATGACTGAAATTACTGCTCACCTCTTCATATCTGTCGTTGTAGTTGGTCTTGATGGCTTCCACAAGCTTGGCAAGTGCACCTTTATCCTCACTGAGAAAGAACAAATCTAGTTAATACAATGCTGACACCATTCAGAGATGGAGCTGCAAAACCTTACTGATTCAAATCAACCATGTCAACTTTATAAAGAGGATAATGTAGATATGTTGGTTTAAAAGTTTAATTATTGGAAATTGCTGCAGAAATGCCCTAATAATATTTTGAAGAGTGTATTTCAAGACGTGAACTTGATGTGAGACAGGTTACTACACTAGAGTAAGATTCCAAAATGTTTTAGCCAGGTATGAAGATCCAGCTGCGTTACTAGTCGAGAAGCCAAAAATCTTATTTCGTCTAACACTTTGACATAGCACAGCTCAGTCTGTATGCATACTTACGGGTTTGTCTGTGTGAAGGCAACTGAAGTGCATGTCTTTCTGTGCACCAGTCTGCCCAGTCTAGCCTTGCCCTTGACGATACAGTATGGGACACCCATCTTGCGGCAAAGAGCTGGCAGGAAGACGACGAGCTATAAAAGCAGGGGAACCCCCAGGAGTTAATATTTGTATACTAGGAACACATTTTTAACTTCATCTAAGAGAATAAAATTACCAAAAAGTGAGATGACCACAATAACTGTTGTGGTCAAAACATGTATTCTGGGTTTATGGTCTCTGCTCAGGGTTAAAAAGCTCGTGTGTTTGATCCACATAGAGGATTCAGGTGAAGAAATTCATACATCATTGCCAGTGACCACTTTCTAGATTGAACTGTACCCAATGTGTCAAGTTCCACTGCTGCCACAATAATGACGGACACATACCTCAATTGGATCCACATCATGGGCAATGATCACCAGCTGGGCCTTCTTGCTCTCAACCAGAGAAGTGACAGTGTTCACACCTGTAGGAAAGGGAACATTTTTAATTAACCTCTAATCAGTAAACACCCTGCCCTAACATAATTTGTCATTTTGGCCAATGCTCAGGGTTAAAAAGCTCAAAAAACATCAGGGCATGTTTCAGGTGAAGAAATTCAAGTCATCATTGCATTCAAGCCAAGTTGGATACGACTGCACAATTAACTTTAAAATAATTTCTCAATGGAACTCAAATGAATTGAACTAAGTTGTTATCCATCAATTACACCATCTTAGTTCTTTCCTGCTCACCTGCACGGAGGACAGGGGGCCTCTTGGTAGGAGTATCTCCCTTTCCAGCTGCCTTCTGCTCAGCGCGGGCCAGCAGCCTCTGTTTCTTCTCCTGCTTGGTCTCTGGCCTGTACTTGTGGGCCAGCTTGAACAGCTGTGTGGCTAGAGGGGGAAGACAGTACATTACAAATTAACGTAAACTTGCATGGTTTTGTTTTACAGCATGACAAGTAAACAGTATTTCAAGTTACTGCATCAGTGATCTTGGTGGAATGTCAGCACGGCTATTCAGATAGCAAATATTCTTTCACATCATTTGCAAATATTATGGTACTCTGAAGGATCCATTAACCATTTAAAAAAAAACACCCCCACAGCTTTCTTTTGCAGGCAGCCATTCAAAAAAAGCACCAACTAAAAAACAAGGTGCAACCCTTGTACCATAAACTTCCGAAGCTTACCGGTCTGGCGGTCAAGAGCCTGAGTGAACTGGTTGATTGCAGGGGGAACCTTCAGACGCTTGTAGAGGATGGAGCGCTGCCTCTGCAGGCGGATGTAACGGGGCCATTTCACAAAGCGTGTCAAATCACGCTTGGGCTGTATATCCTGGCCTGTGGGAGAAGACAAATATTTAGCATTTGACCACAAACTAAAGTATTTTGTTTTTCCAGTCTACCGTGCATCAGCGATCTTGGTGGGAAAATTGTCATCAGTGTTGTTAAGATAGCAAATATTCGTTTACATCATCTGCACCATTAAAATCCCCAGATCTCCCAATTCACCACCTAGGGCTACTTACCGATGCCAAAGTTCTTTGGCCTCTTCTCGAACAGGGGGTTGACTACTTTTTTGGCCTCATGTTTCTTGGCCACAGAAGGGGCCGGTGCCACCTTCTTCCCCTTAGCCTTCTTTCCCTTAGGCTGTTGAGAAGAAAACAGTGTTGGGGAGCATTAGCAAACATTACTTTGTCACCAAGAAAGTTAATGTCTGAATCTTCAGCTGTGCCCAAATTAATGCTTCTAGCATCACCCTTGTTAAAGCAAATACATCTCAAATGTTTTGCCCAAATGAGAAACAGCACTTTTATGGATTTTAACCATAACATGATCATGAATGCTACCTGTACTGTTCTAATTTTCCAGCATGCCTGCTTTAGCATCCACTGCTTGGCATGCAGGTTAGCCTCGCTCCATACCTAACGTTACTATTGTCTATTTTCTAAATTACATAAAGCATTAGAGTCTGGAGACCTTTTGGTTGTCAGTGTCGTCAAGCCAAAAAATATAACTAAAAACTCAAAAGGCATTACGATGACTCAAGCTAGCCAAATCCCCATGTTGATCAGCCCACACTGCTGTTAGCTCGCCATACAAACCGAATTCAAGACGACGTAACGTTAGCTAGCTTAGCTGTTGCTACTAAAAGTTGTAGTTTACAAACCAAGACATTTTAACATTAGCTACCAAGCTACCAAACACGCTAAAGCATGACTAAATTAGAGGTACGACTGCTAACTCTAATGTCACCATTTGTGCAAACAAGCAGCGTTCGGGCCCATTAACGTTAGCTAAATACTAATACTTCTGTACCACTACAACACGTTATAAGTCCCGTTGTAACTTACTTCCATTAGTCACAATGTTAATTTAACTTACGATGCGAATACTAACCGTTTACATTAGTGCGGAAAATAAAAAAATACCAGCGCAAACCTCCTCCTTAAATCAAGCATGTTCAACAACGTTAGCTTTAGCCCCCTGATAGCTACTCGTACCGGCTACACTCGAGTCAGTTTGACCAAATTTTGTCAAAATCCACAAAACATCGACGCTCAATATCGACATTATATACACGAACAGGTTTCAAAGACTTCATATGTACATTCTATGATGTAAGAATAACCATGTATACAGGGATGCAAGCAGATACAACGGCTTGAATATTTTCTCAGAAGAATCAGCTATGTACCCACCATGTCGGTTCAGGCAGAAAGGAATACCTAGGTATTCTGGGTAGCGTAAATACCGCGAGGCTTGCACCGTGGTGGCGTGGCTTCAAATATCACCGATCTGGAGTCAGATGTCACAGCTGCTCGCCTGCACAAGAGCTGTATTCTTAAAAATATAGATACTGACTCTGGATCAGTGATTCAATTCAGTCTTAATATCATAGACTGTATATGCTATGTACGTCATGGTCATACTCAACGGTAGAGATGTTCTTCAATCTTCCACCTTTTAAAAGAAATTACAGTATTATAAGTTACATGTGTAGTTTATATAAAAGTAAATAATACATTATGTATTAAGTAAGTACTTAACTTGTGGTTTATGTTATATACAATGCAATATATAATACGTTAGTTAGTTAGTTATTTAGTAACTAATAGTTTATTATTTGTCCATATCCTTTATTATTCTTTTATATTTTCATCTTATCATCTTATTGTAAATATCATACCATATATTTATCACTACTTGATGTGCAGTTCTTGCTCTATCTTTATCTTTCTTATATTTTTCTACCTGCTATGTATAGACCTCCTTGGCAATAAAGCTGATTCAGATTCTAATACTTACTTAAAAAGGTAATATATATGTAGTTGTTAATAAAAATCCATCAATTAGGCCTGAAGTTCAGAGGCAGCGGAGCCAATCAATGACACTATAGTACCAGAAGAAGAAGTAATTTAGAAAGCTGTTTCTCTTGTTATTCTTTTATGTTACTATTTTTGGAACATGCAAACTCCACACAGAAAGGCCACTGGACCACAGTGCCTTCATTATAGCATAGTGGTCAATTATTGCAAATCAGCTGCCCTAGCGGATTTGGTCAGGCTCCCTTGAACCTCCCCGCGACTCCTGGCCCTGACTAACCCTGTGACATCACTCATCACACTGGGTCAGTTTTATTTATTGTACACACTATGGTCTACTCTAATGGCTATTATGGTGCAATAAAACCAACATAAACAA